AAATTAATATTAAGAGCTCAAACTTGGTGAGAATGTTTTTTCCTATATGCAGATTAATATTTTGCTTGAGCACCGAAAAAAACCAAAAACTTTGCGGAAATGAATCACCCTAGTGAGCATAAATGATATTTGGTAAATTCTCATATAACTTGTTTCGATGCTGTATCCACTTATTTTTGTGAAAACTAATTCTCGCTTAAGGTTTTTTTAGTGGAATGAGCATGTAGCATTTTAAGGTAATGGGAACTTAAATTATGACAACCCTAATATGTTAATATTTCCTAAAATGCAGGCATTATGTTGCAAATGTCACGTAAGTTACCGGTCACCAACTGCAATATCCTAACATTGATGAATATTTTAACAAAATGGCTGTTGAAACAACTAATGTTAGTGCTTGATTACCTAAAAATAGACTTAAGATTGACGAAAATTTATTTTATCCGAAATCGGCAGTACAGTAGAACTTTACTGCCGATTTATTTTAATTTGCGATTGTTGACTACTTTACTGCCGATTTCGGATAAAATAATTTTTCGTCAATCTTAAGTCTATTTTTAGTCAATCAAGCACTAACATTAGTTGTTTGAACGGCCATTTTGTTGAAATTTTCATCGATTAGGATATTGCAGTTGGTGACCGGTAACTTACGTGACATTTGCAACATAAAGCCTGCATTTTAGGAAAAAATTAATAGATTAGGGTTGTCATAATTTAAGTTCCCATTACCTTGAAATGCTACATGCTTATTACACTAAAAAAAACCTTGAGCGAGAATTAGTTTTCACAAAAATAAGTGGATACAGCATCGGAACAAGTTATATGAGAATTTACCATTTGCACTAAACGCACGACATGTAATTGATGTGCAGGTGGCTCGCGCGCTCCCCGACGCCGCGCACGCGCCGTCGGCTTCCTGCCACCACTGCTGTTGGCCTGGTTGCCGCCCTTGCTGCGTTCGCTGCAGTGATGCCGTCCCGTCGCGCGAGCAGCACCGGCAACAGAGCGCGCGGCGATCTGCGCGCCGCATGCAATCTACGTCTAAGTACTGTACTACTTACACCACCACCTACCACCAACCACCTACCACTACCTACAACCCAGAACTACCAACCTCACTGCCACGTGAGTCTCTCTTCTCTTTTCTTCTCATTTATCTCTGATTTATCCTTCGTTTTTAATTTTTTCGCAAAAATTATGAAAACATTATCTAAATTTATTTTAGAATATACACTCACAGGCAAAATAATTGATCCACACAAATTTTCGATGAATTTCAATCGCAAATAACTTGTTTATTTGATATCGGATTTAAACGAATTTTAAAGAATATTAATATAGATAAATTAATGGACAATCGCTCACATTTTACAAAATTACTAAATAATAGTCGTACGTTTATAATATACAGTTTTAAACAAAAAGATGTTTTTTACCATAAGTTTAAGACACTCTGTAGAGTGGCAAAACCGTATATTGTTACTCTTAACAGTTTTGTTTTTGGTTAACCTCGATATATTTATTTTTGTGGAAAATATGGATTTTAAACAAAACATTGCAATTTCCAATATTTTTCTGTATGAAGAACTAAGGTTGCTATGGTCCACCCATAGGCTATGGAGAATGACAGTAACAGTTTTGTTGAATCATCCCATACTTGGACATGTCATACACGGCTTTTAAAAGCTATCAAATTGTTTTTTGCAAATTAATGTTTAAATTTTGAGGTGTCTTCTTACTTTAAAAAATAGATATGTCTCCGACTGATGTTGCCAGAGCCATTAATTTAATCCAGGATGAACGGTCACAGTATTACGTGGCAAGTGTTTTAAACGTCACAAGATGTAAACTACAAAGGGCAACATCAGTCGGAGACATTTTTAATCGTAAGAAGACACCTCAAAATTAAGACATTAATTTACAAAAAACAATTTGATAGCTTTTGAAAGATGTATATGACATGTCCAAGTATGGGATGATTCAACAAAACTGTCACTGTCATCCTCCATAGGCTATGGATGGACCATAGCAACCTTAGTTCTTCATACAGGAAAATATTGTAAATTGCAATATTTTTAAAAAAAAATCCATATTTTCCACAAAAATAAATATATCAAGGTAAACCAAAAACAAAACTTTTAAAAATAGATGTGACTTGATAATTAAAACTTAATTTAAAACAATACACGGTTTTGCCACTCTACAGAGTGTTTTAAACTTATGGTAAAAAACATCTTTTTGTTTAAACCTGTATATTATAAACGTACGTGTATTTTTTAGTTATTTTTAAAATGTGAGCGATTCTCCATTAATGTATCTACAATATTCTTTAATATTTGTTTAAATCCGAAATCAAATAAAAAAGTTATTTGCGAATAAAATTCATCGAAAATTTGTGTGGATCGATTATTTAGCCTGTGAGTGTATGTAAATATCGTGAAAAGTTTCTTTTTCTATAAAATTTATGATTTTATTTTTATTTTAAAAAAATTAAAATTTATTTTTGATCTTTTTTTACATTATTTTTAATATTTAACTCCATATATGTACACTGGTCTGCAAAAAATATGTATTGGTCAAGATGTCAGCTATCCACCTTATGCTACCATACTCTGAAAACGTTTCTTAAATAACACATTTTAACACAAATATTAAAAGATCTTGGTATATTTGTAGTTAATAAAATTCCTGGTCTTGTCAGAATTATTATCTTATACTGGTATGGTCATGACCTGCAAAAGTATGAAACAAATTCATTAAAAAATGTTATATTTCATTGTTGGCATATAATTTGAAACAAATATTTACTACTAGATGTAAAGACTTTTAGTTGAGCGTTCAGAGTTGTCCAAATATTTTGAAGAATTTAAATATGGGCCATTTAACGGAAATACAGATAATTAAAGTTTTAATTCTCATTCTCTAAAGAAGTAGCTAGTAGCGCTAGTAGCTAGTAGCGCCACCACTCGGCTGTTATCATCGTAACAGAAGTAGAACTTTTGATACGATGTTTTTGAGAATAAAGCCGGAAAATGTTAAAAAATTATCGAAAAAAAAAACCGTGGATCGATTTGTTGTGTTGTTGGGTGTATTTCGAGAGGAAATCCTGGGTTCAGTTTTTACCGGTTTCCCAATAAACAGTGTTAATCTGAATGAAGAAATAAATTGCATACAGTCTCTGTAAATATAAATTGTACCTATTAGATACAAATTGTTTCATACAATAAATACACATTTTAGTAGTTATTTACTTGAAAAGTGTAAACATTTCAATTCAGTAAAAATCGTCAAACAAATAGGTCGTCTAAATTTAAACAGCATTTAGCATTATTAAAAGCGTTGATTAAGAATAAAATACCATTATATTATGTATTATATATAATATTATGTTGCCATAAATTCGTAGGTATATTTTGTTGTTCAAAATGCAGTTGTCGGCGTTTTTTAGAGGACTCAAATATAAAATGGTTGATTTTAAGGTTATGTTTGTGCAAAAATTATTTTTTACCAATTTCTTAAAAATATCCAAACTTAAATATAAATTATATTAGGTAAAGTTATCATTAGTTAATTCTGCACCAACAAATGTACTTTCCGAGTTGGATCCTTTGGCAAAACATGAAAATGCAACGATTTAGTTATTACAATTAAAAACACAATAATTCACCATGATCCCTCCCATAGAGCACAAGATGTCCATTGGACGTCAAATGGACTTTCATTGGACGTTTGGATGTATAGGGTCCGGCAACAGAATTGAACGGTTTTAAAAATGCTGCTATGGAAATAATCTTGATTTGATATATGTCAAATAGTGACGGACTTGTATCTTATTGCTGAAAGTTTCGTGGCTGCTATGGAAATACTACATATTGATTTAATATATGTCAAATAGTGACAGACTTGTTCCTTATTGCCGAAAGTTTCGTGTACAATGGCAATTAAAAATTGTGTGCAGAAATTGAGTCGATTGACTTTATCAATGGGATTTAGCTTCTGGACTGTCGGTTTTTTGGATGGCGTTTTAAATCCAGATCTAACATTCGTCGCAAACTTCGGTCTGAAATGTGTAGAGCAATCGAGTGCCGCTCAAACGCTTCTCTGACTCTTCCAATATTTTCTTGTGATTTTTTTTTTTGATTTTACACTGCCTCTTTAGTTCAAATCTCTTACCCATCTCAAAATGGCATTTTTTTATGGGACTTCAGCTCGCATTGGAAAATTATATTCACGACGAAAGCGTCTCTGCATTTGTACGAAGGACTGGGTCAGGGTAAACGAATTTACAGCAAAGATCCGTTGATTAACCGGCCAGTTTGACATTGCACACGAAACCTTCGGCAATAAGGTATAAGTCTGTCATTATTTGACATATACCAAATCAATAGTATTTCCATAGCAGCCTTTTCAAAACCGTTCAATTCTGATACCGGACCCTGTACAATGGTCGTCCGCTGGACGTCCAATGGATATATGTGCTGTCTGGGCTTTGATAAAATACACACACTAACGTTAAGCATTTAAGCGTTGAGTTTTTTAATCAATGATATAAGGAATAATCAATCGAAATCGAGTACAAAAAAAGTGTTCTAATTTTTTCCTGGCAACGTAAAACACAAATAACGTGAGCGATTTAGCTGTGCAATTGAACAAAATTTGTCGAGTAAGACTTCTACCTTCCTCTCTTTTGTAAAAAAACTACCTATTTATTTAAAAATGATGTATAATCGGTGCTTTAAATGTATTGTTGACTCAATGCATTCGAAGTCCACCAGATGGCGCGCGCGTTGCGAAAACCCGATACTTCTTAAGCGTATATGCAGCTTAACTTGACATTCTTAAAATATATATCCAGGGTAAAGATATCTTGACTAAACCAAACTGACCAGTGTATAAATCATCCCCATCAAATTAGAAAACCTCCGCACCTTCACCTCATCAAAAAAGGCTCCCGCAGCTAAACAGGAGCGGTCGATGAACACTCTAACCTAACTTTTCAGGCGCTGTGGAAGAACCCCCCGAGGACCACTCCATAGTCTACGTGTGCGTCATCGGCGCCATCCTCGTGGTCCTGGGCGCGCTGTGCATCCTCTGCCACCGCAAGCGCCGCCGGCGCCGCCGCCTGAGGGGCGGCGGCATCCACCACCCGCTGCAGATGCCCGCGGCGTCGACCTCGTCGCTCCGCCGACCGCAACAGTTCTGCGAGGAGCTCGGGGAGCGGTTCGCCAGCGTGGACAGCGTCTGATGTCGGCTTTTACCCCCTCCCCCCGCTCCCTCCCCGCCTTCCCCTACGGGACATCCGCCGCGTCTTCGACGGTTACCGGTACCGTCAGCAATATGCAAAATCTACAGGGTCATCCGCGGTTGTAAAAGTAATAATTTTTAATGGGGTAGTTACATTTTTTCTGACCTATACTTTTTATGGTTTCATTCAAGGCGTTTTGTAATATTAAACATTTCTGTGAAATCGGAATTTCAATTGAGTTTACCGTTTTCGAGATATTTACAAAAAATATAAATTTTTATGACGTCACAAAACTCGCCATGTGACCAACATTCTAAGATTTCTATTGGTTGAAAATTACTCTGTTGTCAAGTTGTCTTGTTAATGATTTCATTCGGTTATGTCAGAAAATACCCGAAGAGGTTATGTACAAATACTTGAGTGAAAGATGGTCACCAAATTCATTAAGTACCTATCTTCCTTATTACGAGGTATCATATTACTGTTTGATATTTTAGAGTCCAAGATATATCTAAAAGAATATAAAGAACTAGGCATTATACTAATGAAATGCATTTACGACAAAATATGATTATAATTATAGGTACTTACTTTATTTGTTTAAAAGCTCCAATGTTCAATGTAACCAACCATTCCACAAGATTCCTCTGCTTTTGGAGTCCGTTATTAATAAATCACTTATCTAATATCAATTACAAATAACATAACAATAACATTGATTTTCAATAATCCAAATTTAAAAAAACATAACCCGAAAAAAAGAAACCTCAAAAAATCAATTCTTCTTCTTCTTCTCAACTAAAATTATAGATCAAGTGGTTTTAAAACTAAAATATTATAACGTGGCGCCATCTATCGTAAGAATCTTAAACTAAACGCACTGGCAACCATAGAAAAAGCTGGCAACGTTGTCAATAGCTTAGTGACGTAATTAGGAGATTTTTTTTGTAAATATCTCGAAAACGGTAAACTCATTTGAAATTCCGATTTCACAGAAATGTTTGAAATTACAAAACGCCTTGAATAAAACCATAAAAAGTATATGTCAGAAAAAATTTAACTACCCCATTGTTGTTAAAATGCTACTGCCATCACACTGAATATTGTTATCGTACGTGTGTTTATAGAGAGTCGCTCGTGATTTCCATAGCATTGGATATCGTCTCGGCGAAGTGTCGAGATTTTCGTTTTGTGGAGCTGGGGATAATCCTATGGTGCCATTAACTTTATTGTATAAGAATATCCTAATAGCTTAAGCTGTTAACGACGTATGAGAGAAAACTTATCTAAAATCAATATTTCTACTGTATTGTTCAATATACCATCTACACTTTTTCCAGTTGATATTCAGAAAGTAGGAATTATAATTCAGTTATTCCAGTTGATATTCAGATAGTAGGAATTGTAATTCAGCTATTCCAATTGATTTTAAGAGAGTAGCATATGTAATTCAGATAACACAATTGATTTTAAGAAAGTAGCAATTGTAATTCAGAAAACACAATTGATTTTCAGAAACTAGCGATTTCAATAACTTAAAAAATTCGTGAGCCAAAGTACACAAGAAAATCAAAGTGAGACAATTTAAGTTGACTTAAACCAAAAACACCAAAAAATAACTTCTTTTTAACCAAAAGGTAAATTAACCAAGAAGTTAAATTTAACTAACATTACGTTAATTTTACCATAATTAAATTCCCCACTTATTAAAAAATAACGTTACTTTAACGTTGTAGTACAATATAATGTTTTTTGATAAGTTTTTCCTCATATTTTTAATAATCTGGCTAATACGCTTCCCTTCAAAATAACACTTTTATTCTGAAGGGAAATGTACCTTACGGCCCCCATTCGGGCGCCAATTTTTGTACTAGAAATTTTATAAGATAGCAGCGGTAATTAATAATAATAAAAAAACCCTTTACAGTAATAAATATTCAATGTTTTCCAAACGACGACTCGCTATAAACGCCTTACTGTAATATTGGTGGTGAATAAATAAAAAAATACTTCGAAAAAACGTAACAAACAGGCCTAAATGTTTGTTGTTGTCATTTTATTAAGAAAATAAAAACAAATACGTAACGTTTAAGTGGAATGTATGCAACCATCTTCCTCGCCAACATAAAAAATAGTAAAATGTAAATTGTTTAGGTTCAAAATGAAAATCTCACGTGCTTTTTTTAGATTTTAGTGGAAATACATGGAAATTCTGTTATGGGTAGCAAGCAATTGACAATCTAAATTGACAATAGAACTGTTAAAAACATATACAGGGTGAGTCAAGTTATCAAGAACCGTGGTAGTAAGGAAACGAGGGTTCTGGAACTTGTCTGACCTTGAGTATTCAATTTACATAAAACACAACATAAAAAACCCAATTCATTGAAATTTTTTAAACAACATTTCAAGCGATGGATTTGAGCTATAAACGAAAACTAAATAATATGGGGGAAAAGTTCCTACGAAGCAAGTGAGATTTTTGTGTTGGTAGCCCTTTTGGTTAGTGGTTGGACAATCAGTAAACATATATTGCTGACGGGGCAAGTAGCCAACGTGAAGTCAATAAAACAAAATGAACTGTGTGAACAAGAAACCGACTCTTTCGCTAATTTTTAACAAAGAAAAGTCGATAATCCAATATTTAAACAATAATAGTAATAAAATTAAATCACGTGGTTATAAAAATATATGAATATAAATGTTAGTGATGTATACTCAAGACTTAGAAGTTATTTGTTCGTGAACTGAAACGTTACGATGAAGAAAACTTAGTGAACTAATTAGTGAACATTTTTGGAAACAACAAATCGGACGCAGCAAATTATATTTTGTACGTCGATAGGTTTTTACGTTCAATTAATCACAATTGGATATTTATATACAAATTGCAATAGCAGTAGTTTTTGCACTAATAATCGCACAAAACAAATGGTAAATAAATTTTATAATAGAAATGCTATAAAATCGAACTATCGACGTGCTCTCGATTTTATTTTTACAACGAAAACCCGTTCTCCTCATATACAGGGTGATCAAAAGTTAACCAACATCTGTTAAATGACATTTGTTTATTGATATTCTAACATTAGTTCTAACATTAAAATAATTTGGCTATTTTCAAAAACTTGATTTTAGCAGATGATTGTTTTTTCTGAAACACCCTGTATTTGCATCTTCAATATTATAAATAAGAGATTTGGAAAATTGCCGAAAAACACTTCCGAAGAAAATTGTTGGTACAGTTTTTATTGTTATAATTATTTTTTATTTTCGAGGTTTTCGCGTTTTTTTAAATTATTTACAGGGTGTCCAAAGTTTGCAAATTTGTAGAATTTTTTCTCCTGATTAAAACGGTGAAAACAGAAAAACAATTGAACGTCGGGTTTCCGAAATTTCCACTAAAATAACTTATTTTTAATGGGACACCCTGTAATTTTTTACATATTTTGGAAGAAAATTTAATTTGGATAAAAAAATTATTATTGCATAACTAACCTAAACTTAAAAATAAACGATTAAGAAACACTTAAACTTTCTAAATATATACAGTAAAATTTTATATATTTTTTTAAATTTAATTTATCCCAATTAAAATTTAGGTTTTTTTTAAATTTATTTGTGAAAATAACATAATTTTATTAAAACCCATAGATTTACCAAAAACCGCATTCACCACTTTTTAAGAAATAAAGAATTTTATTGTTTTAATTTTTAAATATGTTTATTTCAAACTGCATAATGTCATAAAATACAAAAATCGTTTGTAAAATCGCTTCTTATATTTTTAAAATCATTTTTTCTCTTTTTTAAAAACAAATGTTTACTTTAGAATTACTTTTAATGGGTAGCAAATAATTTTCGACACCCTCTATATTTGACGTTTCAGTACTTTCTTAGCCTATAATGTTTAAATATGATTTTTTAAAACGATTATATAATTTTGATTACTTACCAATAAAATTAAAAAAAAAAAAATAACACAACAATTTTCTTACTTAAAATAATGCCTAAAAATCTCTTACTTATAAAACATGAATCCCCACCATAAAATTTACCTAAACTAGAAAAGAAGACAGTAAGAAAATGTGCGTCTAACCAAAAAAAAAAATCTACTGCCGTGTGAAATTTTAAGAAATTATTAATACACCGAGTGAATTACGGTAAAACTTTCCCGATTAAAAATCTGTGAGAAGCAACCGAAAAATATATTGTTATTTGAAATAATTCATTTTAGAGACCGACCGAACTCTAGAACCGTGATTCAGACACTCATGCATCTAAGTTATTTGTAAATGCACTTTTTTTCAAAAAATGTTTTTAAAATTTAATAAACTATACTTTGTATATGTATGTAGTTCGTTGTATTTTAAAAAATTACTCAGTTAAATTGAGTTTGACTTTTTAACTCTATGTAATGTAAACAAATGCAAGAATTTGGTTTGTTCGTAGGTCCTACACTAACTCTATAATAGTACACTAATGAAGGTTAGGGTAGCATCCACTAATCTAAATTCGTAACGGTAAAAGGGGTAAATAAAAAACTTATTAAGTGGACACTATATTTCTATTTGATTCTTGCATACTTTTTGCATTATCTTTTTTATTATAGCTTCCAAATGTAAATCAAAAATCACCTTTGATTGCAACATAAACAACTTGGTACCTAACAATTTCCAACCCAAATAAACAGCTTTAATTTTCCATTATTACTAAAAGGTGATTTGAGATTTTTAAATCAATTTTGTGCCAAAAAAGTGCTAAAAATAGCAATTTTATTTTATACTTCACTAGTTATGAAAACATCTAATTACTATTGTTGGGCTTCCTGGAAATTTTTTCCGAAAAATTTCCGACTTCTTGTCTACCTTAACAAAAAAAGTAACTGTGCACGCTACGTCGACATTATAGAAGTCATTTGTAATTTAACTGAGTATACACAATGTGGCTGTTACTTTGGTAGCGTAGATTTAAAAAAAGAAAAAAAAGTTGCTTAAATTTTAATAATATTCAGTTTTTTAGGAAAATCAAGGTATGCCATGACATTTTGCTTTTTAAAGTTGGTAATACTATTTGACTTTTTGTTTTAATTGTGATTTTAATATATATTTACTTAAAACTTTTTACTCACCAATTTTTTTAATTTGATTTTTGGAGAATTTTCATTTTACATGTTTTTAGTTTTTTTAAATGACAGCTGCAAAGTCAAAGCTGCCTAGACTTTCTATGTATCGTTACCAAAGTAGCTCCATAGAATCGGTGTAAAATATTTGTTTAAATTGGCATTACAGAAACGTTGTAATAATAAATTAGTTAAAATAAAATATGATTGTAAAAATTTATGTAAAAATATTAAAACTGATTGAAATAACATAATGATTGTACCAAAACAAATAATATGAATCGTTTAATCTATAATAAATAAATAAGTTATCTAAAAAAGCTACACAACAAAATCTGTTTTAAAAGGCGATTTTTATTGTTATATAATTGTGTAATCTTTGAAGCAAAATCGTGTTAGTTTAAAGCAGATTTGCGTTGTGATTTTGTACATTTTTAACACGTAAATCAGAACACCAATTGTAACGTAGAATCCTACAGTTCCTTTTGTGTACTGTATTTTAATGACGCTTTGTCTTCCTATCCAGTCATTGTGTTATTTCGCTGATAAAATATAAATATACTAGGATAGCTTGCAAGTATCCTAACTGCAACGTTTTGGTTAATTTGCCTTATTTTTTAAGCGGGAGTTTTAAAATTATCTGTCTGATATACAATGTGTCCACAATTGCTAGTGTTAACCTAAACTCAGTTATTATTGAGCTACAAAGTCGGTTAAATTGGTGAATTTTTTTTTATTAAAATTGTGAAAACAAAAAACAATTGAACGTCGGGTTTCCGTAATATTCACAAAAAAAATAAAAAAAATTAAGGGACGCCCTGTATATTATTACATATTTTGAAGGACACATTAATTTGGAACAAAAAATTTATAGCCTATACCTAAAAATAAACAATTAATAAGCACTTGAACTTTATGATGATTGTTAAAATAAGCAAGTTATTTCGGAAACCCGACGTTCAAGTGTTTTTTTCGTTTTTATGATTTTATTCATAAAAAAATTTCATCAATTTGCTAACGACTTTAAACCTTCAATTATAATTATATATTATATGCAATTTAATATATTTTTGACATTTTCATAATTCTTAAAATTTGAATAATCCCAATTAAAAATTAATTCTTTTTAAAATTTAATTGTGAAAATAACATAATTTAATTAAAACCAATAGATTTGCCAAAAACCGCATTAGCCACTTTTTTAAAAATAAAAATTGTATGATTTTTGTTTTGAAATATTTTTATTTCAAACTGTTTAATGTCATAAAATACTAAAATCGTTTGTAAAATCGCTTTTTATAATATTAAAATCATTTTTTCCATTTTTATGGCCTAATTTTTGTATTTTTATAAATCACTTAAACCTATAAAACTACTTAATACATAAAACACCCCAAACACAACATTAAAAAGGTTTTAAAATTCCCGCCAAATATTTAAAAAAAAAAAATTGTAGTCGTTCAATTGTTTTTCTGTTTTCATGATTTTATTCATAATTTTTTTTTACCAATTTGCTACAGACTTTGAAGCTGCGAGCACAGTGTGTAAAATTATATTCAGTAAAATTTGATATATTTTTTTACTTTTTCGTATTTTTTTAAATTATATTTATCCCAATTAAAATTTGGGTTTTTTTAAATTTAATCGTAAAAATAACAAAATTTTATCAAAACCAATGGATTTACCAAAAATAGCATTAGCCACTTCCTTAAAATATTGAATTATATGTTATTAATTTTTAAGTATGTTTATTTTAAATTGCAAAATGTCATAAAATACAAAAATCGCTTTTAATATTATTAAAATCATTTGTTACGGCCTAATTTTAATACATAAAACACCCCAAACACTACAAAACAACAATAAAGATATTTTAGAATTCCCGCCAAAAATTCTTCATAAAAAATTGTAGTCGATTCGGTTGGTTGCAGTAGCGTATGCACTCTGTATAAGTAGGCCTCGGCCACCACATTGTTACTTAGGATAAATAATTATTTTTAAATATTACCTACTCGCGATAGTTATTTATATTGTATGTATTATTCATACTTAGGGAATGTTTCATAAAACAAGTTTTTAAAGATTTAAGGTTTTTGGAAATTTTGATTGCTTTTATTCAATAACTTTCAAAAATGCAGTAGAACAAAAATATTTTAAATTACTTTTCAACGAGAAAAGTCTAAAACCTTTAAAACTGTCTTATGGAATGAGCCTTATATGTGCAGTTGCAAGTTGACGGTTTAGTCACTATCATTTACATACTTAATGTATTCACTCACCACGGTCAACTGTCAAAACTTTCCCTGAAAAAAAAACAGTGGCGTATCACAAAAAAAAACTAAAAACGTCAAAACGTATTCGGTATTTTTATAGATTACATTAAAAACATCCCAGCAAATATTATATTAATATATTATCGTGAAATGTAATACTAAAACATTCATAAATTTACAAGAAAAAATACAAAGCATGTGTTGTAATAAAGACCTGTATAAGTAAAACTTATTATAAAAACTGTTTATAAGGTAATAAATGGAATCCATATTATTTAAATAAATTAAAAATCGTTAAACTAAATAGAAGATATTTAAAATTAAATTGCATATTAGGGTGTGTCATTTTTGAGGAACTTTTTTTTTAACTATCAGGAAGGTGAAAAAAGAAGCCTCTAAAAATTTGTGCTCTTAATAATAACATTAAGTGGTGCCTGTTCCTAACTTTCCATTTTCCATTTAAATAACATGGAAAAAAATTTTCTTCTTTCTTATTTTTGTAGGTTGACATTTAAGCATTGTAAAAACGAACTGAAAAATTATTTTGGTAGGAAATTGAACGCTCTACAAAAAAGTTTTAATTTATTTTTTCATAGAGTAAGCCGTTCTGAAGGTATTCAAACTTGCAAATGTATGAAATTTTGACTTTTATTTCATTAAACTAATACTTTTTTGATGTCTTAAAAATTAATTATTTTCGTATAGAAAGAAAATAACACTTACATCTCAATTTTTTTCCATTTTATTTTATTTACTATCAAAAAACGTTATTTGTGTTCAATATATTTGTTCAATAATTATAATAGATTAAATAAAACAATGAATTTGTTATTGCATTGAATTTTTAATCTTTTCTCTTTATTTTTTGTAATTTTACCTCAACTAAAGTCGTTAACTATGATAAAAGATTATATCGGCTCAGTCGGTATATTACCGTTCGTATTACACAGCGACTAGAGGCACGCTAACGTGCCGCGATTCAAAATTTTAAAGGCAACTTTAAGTTTGATTACCTTCAGAACGGCTCACTCTATGAAAAAATATATTGAAACTTTTTTGTAGAGCGGTCAATTTCCTACCAAAATAATTTTTCAGTTCGTTTTTACAATGCTCAAATGTCAAGTTACAAAAATAAGAAAAAAGAAAAAAAATTGTCCATGTTATTTAAAGGGACAGGCACCACTTAATGTTAATATTAAGAGCTCAAATTTTTAGAGGTTTCTTTTTTCACCTTCCTGAAAGTTTTTAACCTTGTTTTTTAGTAAAATAAAAAATTTGCTTAAAAATAACACACCCTATTGTATATTTACAAATAAGTCAACTTAATTTTTTTGGTAGATTGTCCTATATAACAAAGAAAACCAGGTTTTCTGTGCAATTATTAATTTCTTTTATTGGCAATTGCCTCAATTTATTACATATTTAAATTTAATAACCATTAGATAATATTGTTATTTTTAATGTGGTATAACATATAATTAAAGGTTCATGTAAGTTTTATATGCAGAAAACATCTGGCCTAAAAAGGGCCATTGCAAGACCTTATCACGACAGCCTTTTATCAAAATTAATATTTTTATTAAAACATTCCTGTAAAGGCCCAGTACAAGGAAAGCTTTGGCTAAAAATACCATTATTAAGCCATTACATAATCAGACTTATGTGTTTGCTGGGATAACCACCCATATTAATATTTTAAAATGAAAGTTACTTAAAAAAATTCTTTATTATTTCCAAACCATTGACTCAAAATCAAGTCGTCTTAAGGCGCTGCTAATTCTTTTTGACACAATCGCGATGTCATATATTTTTTAAAAACAATCGAATTTGACAGTTGACTTTTACTGAGCACCACGCGCGGCTTCCATACTACTACTCACACGTGCAACTGCAATCGCGCACTTTGTTATTAACAAAATAAAATAAACAAAAAACGTCTTGTAGTGAAGCTCTGAATAAATAAATAAAGAATAATAAGAGCCGCATTTGAACACTGCCAGTGCCACGAGATGCATCATATAACGAAATACGAAACGTAATTTTATATAATTAAGAGTATATACATAGAAGAATGAAATAAAGAGAGACCACGCCAAATAAAACGACATCTCATTATTAACCGCTTTGTTTCTATTCTGTACACCACTTAGGTAAGATTCAACTCGTGGTCCTAGTAGTTTTATTTACACTGTGAACGCTCACTTCGCTCGCTTTTTAAGGTTGTTTTTTGACAGTTGCGATTTTAGGTTAGATTGCTGTCAAAAGTGACGTTTCTCAACCAAAGCCAACGCGACACTCGGCGAGCGAACTGAACGATTTCTCGTATACCTAGCGAGGAAGAATTCGCATTGTTTGTATACCTATTATGACAAAATTAAAAATAATAAATAATGTGCGAAATGCGAATTCTTCCTTCGTGAAAATACATTTTTGTATTTCAAATTCTCATCATTCCATCATATGTTATTTGTTAACCTAAATGCTGTTAAGTACTGTTAAGATTAATAAAAAAAAGATGGTCGCAACCTGTAATATATTGTATCAAATGCTCACAGCGACTAGATCGAGTAAATAAAAGTGTATTCCACTGTATTATGTTGCAGTTTTATTTTGTTAACCACAATATTACCTGGGAATTGTACAAGCATGTAAGTATACTAGTAGTAAAACATATAGTTAATTTTTTTTTACAGAATAAGCAACTTTTATTGAAAAATGTACAAAATCATACCCAAAACAAAATAAAACTTAACCTAGCTCACATCAACCCTCACAAGTACCCCATTTTCTCCACCAACAAACAATTGCCCATCATCCCCCACTGTCATTTTAGTGACGACAAAGCTCAAGCTCATATTTTCAACCGCTTTAATACTCTCGTCATCCACTCGCCACCTTTTCAACGTTTTATCCCAACCAGCTGTGAACAGAATGTCTTCTCCTTTCAAGGTAGCACCAGCCATGGAATTGATCATCAGTTCATGGGCGTCCTTAAAAAAAACATAAAATGTGTAATACTAATTCAATAATATTTTTACTAATACTAAAAGTGCAAAGTATGGTTTGTATTTTGTTAGTTAGTTACTTATTACTTTCCATGTTAATAAGTATCAAACAAAGTGCATTTTGGAAGAAGACCAGCGAAATCCTGTCAAAATATGAGAAACAATTTAAACATTTTGAAAACTGGTGCAAAAACTAAAGCACAAACAGTTTTAAGGAATAAGTGTTTCTGGCCAATTGCGGATTTAATAAAATCATATCAGCCAAATACTTTGTGGAGTAAGTACTCCATGTTAAAAAGGGTCCTAAAAGTTAATAAAAATTTGGATTTGAGTCTATATTATAAGTTAACATCATATATAAAAAAAGGAAAATGTGGGATACCGATCAAAAAAGTACAAATTTTTTTAGAAAGACGACATTTCAAGATTCATTAAGAAGCACCAGATGAAATTTACCTTTGAATAAAAGTTGCCACTATTTTTGGGTTAGCTGGTGCTGATATAGAAGATAAAGAAAATTTGGTAATCGTGAAAATTTCGGACAGTAAAAATTACACATCAGGAATCTTTGTGATATCTGATGAAATCAATAATGGTCATAACTTACAACTGTTTCGAAAATATTCAAATTTGCGAAAACCAAATACCCCACACAAGCGGTTTTTTGTCAATTATAAAAGAAGAGCATGAACTACCCAATGTGTAGGAATTAACACATTTGGTAAAATGCCTGCATAAATAGCTGCATATCTAAAACTTAAAAATCCTGAGGAGTACACAGGTCATAGTTTTCGTAGAGCCTCCGCTACCATATTAACCGATTCTGGGGAAGGAATTTCCAATGTTTAAGCGACTTGGAGGCTAAAAATTAACGGCTGTCGCCGAGAGCTACAAAGAAGAATCCATGACCCAAAGAAAAAATATCAAAAAAAATATAGGACATAAAAAACGGTTCTTCTGAGTTAAGCCAAACTTTATTAAATAGTACAAGTTACCCGTTGAATGAATTAACCTGTTCTACAATTAATTTAGAAAATATTAATAATTGATCCTTTGTAATAAACAATAATAAAAATTAATTTAGTAGAAAAAATATTGTTCCTAACACATGCGCAAAGTAATTTCTCCGCACCTACTGCAATTGCAGTAGCGTGCGGAAAAATGTAACCTTGCGCACTTACTCAATAGTATAGAACAAATTCATTAAAAAATGTGCCTTTTTTCCCCAAATAAATAGATTATAAAATTCTGAATTCAGAAATAGGCACATGTTTACCTTTTGGGATGATAGTTTTGGGTATTTAAAAGTTCGTGATTTAAAAATTTTTATTAAAAAAAAAAATTATTATCTTTATGAAAATCATTTTGAAGATGGCATTTATGACAATGACATTTGCTGAGAACGCAATAATAAAGCGACAGGGGTGAGATCTGGAGATCCCGCTGGCCACTTTATCAGTCGGATAATATAAAAAATTGTACATTAAAATGTGCGTATTTGAAAAAGAAAATCGACCTGTTACTTGGGAGTAAGGTTAAGGGCTGAAACTTTAAGGGAATTTCTCAATATAAACTTAGCCTTACTTTCTGTTCAGTTAATCTTGGGTAAATCTCTACTTCATCATTTTTATGGACAATAATACTTTTACCGTCGCGGCTCGAGAAACATAACACAGCCACACAAAAAAAAAATTGTGTTCTGATCTGGGGGCCTGACCATATTTTCTATATATTTTTGGGGTCGCTGAATCCGAATCCGAGGTCTATTTAACCCCATCACATCAGGATTTTGCCATAACCTTAAAAAACCCATCATATAAGCTATTACTATATATAACCCTGAGAATGTGGTTTTAATATAAAAATCCAAGCTCTTAAATATCACAACTTTATAACTCACATAAATCCATAACCCCATAACCCATTTAACCTCATAACTCAATGTACATCAACCACGTTTGTCAGATATTTAACTTAATATGTACGTTATTTTAATAACCGCATAACTTTACTCTCTTCAAAGCTAATTGTCTGACATACGTAACTGTTGGAATTGATGTTGATGGGGTTAAATGGGTTACAAGGTTATGGGATTAAGTGGTTTATGGGATGGGGTTAAAATGGTTATTGGGTTTAATAGCTTGGGTTTTCAGATCACAATTTCATCCTAAGGATTATATGTTTAAATAGATGATGGGGTTAAGTGGGTCATGGGGTTAAGTGAGTTTTAGGCTTATAGTGTTTAGAAGCTTGGGTTTTTAGACAACAACTTAATATTTAGGGTTATATGCGTTTAATAGCTTAAATTATAGATTTTTTGAGGTTATGTCAAAATCCTGATGTGATGGGGTTAAATAGACCTTGGATTCGGATTCAGCGACCCCAAAAACATAAAAGAAATATGGTCAGACCCCCAGATCAAAACACAAAAAAAAAATTGTGTTTTGATCTGGGGGCCTGACCATATTTTCTATATATTTTTGGGGTCGCTGAATCCGAATCCGAGGTCTATTTAACCCCATCACATCAGGATTTTGCCATAACCTTAAAAAACCCATCATATAAGCTATTACTATATATAACCCTGAGAATGTGGTTTTCATATAAAAATCCAAGCTCTTAAATATCACAACTTCATAACTCACATAACTCCATAACCCCATAACCCATTTAACCTCATAACTCAATGTACATCAACCACGTTTGTCAGATATTTAACTTAATATGTACGTTATTTTAATAACCGCATAACTTTAGTCTCTTCAAAGCTAAATGTCTGAGATACGGAACTGTTGGAATTGATGTTGATGGGGTTAAATGGGTTACAAGGTTATGGGTTTAAGTGGTTTATGGGATGGGGTTAAAATGGTTATTGGGTTTAATAGCTTGGGTTTTCAGATCACAATTTCATCCTAAGGATTATATGTTTAAATAGATGATGGGGTTAAGTGGGTCATGGGGTTATGGAGAAGTGAGTTTTAGGCTTATAGGGTTTAGGAGCTTGGGTTTTTAGACAACAACTTAATGTTTAGGGTTATATGCGTTTAATAGCTTAAATTATAGATTTTTTGAGGTTATGTCAAAATCCTGATGTGATGGGGTTAAATAGACCTTGGATTCGGATTCAGCGACCCCAAAAACATAAAAGAAATATGGTCAGACCCCCAGATCAAAACAAAAAAAAAAATTTGTGTGGCTGTGTAATTTATTGCCCACAAGTGCTAATGGGGCCTTTCCGTCAATTGATGCCTTCGCCCCGTACTGGATTTTTTCCCCTAAAATGTTAAAAGAATAAAAATTAATAAGATTATGAATAATACTGAAAGAAATATGTTTCGTTTTTTTCTAAAATATAAAGGAATTATGCATACAGCAGACAAGTGTAAAAATTGTAAAAAAAAATATTTGTTTATAAAATATGCATATAATTGAACACTATTCTTATTTTAATAATTTAAACAAGGTTTTAACTTTTACCAACAAAAATTGTTTGTTTAATCATATTTTATTAATAAAAAGTTTTTCCCCCTTAAAAAAATGAGTAATGAAATAAATTCACATTACTCATTAAAATAAAAAATGTTATGTAAATTCTTACATTACTCATTAAAAATTAAAAATGAGAAATGTACAAGTAATTCTCCATTAAACAAAAAAAATTACTCATTATGATAAAAATGAGCAATGAAATATCATTGCATTAAAAAAAAATGCGTTTTTTGCAACTCTGCTTGACAGCAATGTGTTACTAATGTGTTACTTGGGCAATCATTTTAGTGAACAAAACAAAAATACAGTTTTTTTTAAATAATAATAGTAAGTATGAAAACTTAATAAAACATTTAAAATGGAGATGTAAACTAAAAAATACAAATGTACTTACTTTCAACATAAACTTTGGTAATGACAACATCCAAAATGTTTGACGAAAAAATTGTTGAGTTGTTATCTGTTGCCATATCTTTGATAGGCTCGGCAATACCAAATGCTCCATAGAATTTGTTATCCTTATATGCTCTGATCTAAAAGAACATTTTTAAAATGGTTTGATTTCTTTAATCTATGTAGTCAAACGCACAATTATTGTACTGTAAAAAATCAAAAAAAATAAATTATAAACAAAGCTGGGAAAGTTACTTCTGAAAAGTACTTTTTTAAGATACTTTAAACAAAATAACTTAGTTACCTCTGGTGACTAGAAACTTTGAGTTAAAAGTATCTTTAGTTACAAGATACTTTAAAAAGTATCTAAGTTACTATCCATTCTATTGTTTAAAGTATCTAATCCTATTGTTTAAAGTATTTAAGAAACTACCTATATGAAAGTATCTAAGATACTTTTGAGTAACTCAGATACTTTTAAGTAACTAATATGCTTTTGAGTAACTAAGTCACCTTTAAGTATGAATTAAAACTATAAAATTATGAAAATTTAACAAGTTGTAGGTTAGGTAATTACTTTAAATCATTCTGGAATTCCCCCAATTTTCTCTAAGAAAGTATCTAAGTTACACTAAAAAGTATCTAAGTTAGGTACTTGAATGTATCTTAGTTACTTCCATGATAGCACACTTTATTCTAAGAATGTTTTTTAAATCTTCCAGTGAGAATATTCTTAGGATCATGCTATATTTCTTCTAAAGAACATGCTTAAAAGACATATAGCATGATCCTAAGAATATTCTTACTGGCCTATAGGCAGGTTCTTAGAAGGTGCAAAGTTTTAGTGGTAAAAATTAGTCTACTATAGTAAAATATACCATAAACTACGTATAAAGGCTATACTAAGTAAAAAAACAATCCAAATTTTTTTTTTATAGTTATTTGTCAAATTAAAACAATATTCGATAACAAAAATAATTTTACTATAGGTATTTTAGTTTATGTTGAAAATAAATATTTATTAATTTGTATACCAATTTTTTATTTCTGAATTAACATTTTTATGTATAATAATCCTAACTATCTTCAACTTCAATCTAATCTGACTTATCCCACAAAATTTTCCAATTTTACTTTTTATGAAATAATGCCAAACAACTTATGGTTTAGAGGTCAAATTGTTTATTTAATATTTTTAAATAAATATATGAGAAGTGATTTTTCAAAAGGTCATATTTCCATTTGCAACAATTTTTCAAAAAAATGACTATAACCTGTATAGTAGGGTGATGCAAAAAAAAATTTTTTTTGAATTCTATGCGAGACCACTCGGGTTTTCAAAGAGTATCAAGAAAATAAAAATCTGTAAAAATTTGAGAGAAATCAATTAAAATTTAGAGGTCGCTCAACGCAATTGTTTAATTTAGAAAAATCACGCATCTCAAATGCATTGCTATAAACAAGTAGGCATATTTCATACAAATTTGAATGAAAATGGTTGAATTTTTTTTTGGTGGACTCTTAATGATTATTCTAATAAATAATGTTGTCCCGATTTCAAAAAAATTTTTATAATATTTAAAAAATATATATTAATTAGCAAATATAGCTTAGTTAACAAATAATTCATTCAATTTTTTTTTTTTTGAAAATCTGTATAAACATTGTTAATAGGTCTACAAGCAATTATTCATTCACAAAAACACTCGCCCCCATCGTTAAATATGAGAAAAAAAATAATATTTTAATTAACTACACTTCGCGTCAAATTTAACGCACCTCTAAGAGTTTGTCACATTTTCAAAGTTGATTATCTCACGAACCGTCAAACCGAATTTAGTGATTTTTATAATAAATTGTAGGTTTATTCTTCGATAATAATGCGATTATTAAAATATTTTTTTAAATTAACATTTTAAGTATATACAGGGTGCAAGAGTGATAATACGTTTTTTCCCGGAAATTTAAAACGCCATGTGGATTGTATCAGCTATAACAGCATATGTATCTTATAATCAAACTATAGCCACATCTTCTCTTAACATTTTGTTTTTTGATTCACCGCGTTATCTTTATTTTTAAATGAAATATACAGTTAAAGATTAAAGAACTCCAGTTTAATACAAAAATGTAAAAAGAACGATTGTAACAATAACAACAAAAATATTAACAAAATCAATAAAACCAACATTAAAGAATATCAATATCGCGTATTTCTGCCTCTACTTCTAATTACGGCTTCACATCGACGGCTCACACTCGAAACCAGATGTCCAATCTCGTCTTGATCAATGACATTTCATATTTCTCGTAGCATATTTGCTACGTCATCAAGGAGGCAGGCAAGGAATCATGATTTCTTAGTCGTCTACCCATATTATCCCACAAATGCTCGATGGTGTTGAGATGCGGACTATTTGCAGGCCAGTCTAAAGTTTTAACACCCACCTCATGTAAGTACTCTTGCACTATATAGCATTATCCTGCATCAGTAAAAAATTATTACCGGGCGAAAGGGACAACATGCTCAAATAAAATGTCCTCGATATATCGTACACTATTCATGGTACCTTAATCTTTAAATGTATATTTCATTTAAAAATAAAGATAACCCGGTGAATAAAAATACAAAATGTTAAGAGAACATGGGGCGATAGTTTGATTGTAAGAGACATATGCTGTTAGAGCTGGTACAACCAACAGGGCGTTTAAAATTTCTGGAAAAAAACTAATTATTACACTTGCACCCTATATATACTCAAAATGTTAATTGAAAAACATATTTTAATAAACGCATTATTACCGAAGAATAAACCTACAATTTATTATAAAAATCACTAAATTCGGTTTGACGGTTATATATGTATATACTCAAAACTTAAATTTAAAAGAATTTTTTAATAAAGGCATCATAACCAAAGAATAAACCTCAATTTTAAAACGAAAATTACCAAATTCGGTTTGACGGTTCGCGAGAAAATCAACTTTGAAAATGTGACAAACTTTTAGTGGTGCGTTAAATTTGACGCGAAGTGTAGTTAATTAAAATATTATTTTTTTTCTCATATTTAACGATGGGGGCGAGTGTTTTTGTGAATGAATAATTGCTTGTAGACCTATTAACAATGTTTTTACAGATTTTCAAACAAAAATAAATTTAATGAATTATTTGTTAACTAAGCTATATTTGCTAATTAATATATATTTTTTAAATATTATGAACAATTTTTTGAAATCGGGACATCATTTTTTATTAGAATAATCATTAAAAGTCCACCAAAAAAAAATTCAACCATTTTCATTCAAATTTGTATGAAATATGCCTACTTGTTTATAGCAATGCGTTTGAGATGCGTGATTTTTCTAAATTAAACAATTGCGTTGAGCGACCTCTAAATTTTAATTGATTTCTCTCAAATTTTTACAGATTTTTATTTTCTTGATACTCTTTGAAAACCCGAGTGGTCTCGCATAGAATTCAAAAAAAAATTTTTTTTGCATCACCCTACTGTATAGGTTAGGGCAATATAGATTATTTAAAAAAAAATTCTGATGTATATTTAATAATACTTCAGACCTGCTGTCATATTTCGCCGTTAATATATGCCTTTTAACCATACCTTTGGGATTTTGTCAAAAAATTACATTCAAGTAAAAATGGAAATAATGCCTTTTGAAAAATCACTCCGCATATATTAATAGGTCGCAAAAGGGGACGACAAATACATATTATGACAGTGAGGCGTATTTGTCGTCTTCTGAAGAATTTTACGAATGTACAATACAACATATTAAAACGTGGGTATCTGACATATTGGGAAATATTCTCAAAAGCTTTCTAGAAGCTCCATAAGAAACCTTCTAAGAACATTCCAAAAACGTTTTCTTAAAATGTTCTTAGGATGCTTTTTAGGAAGGTTCTAAGAAGCTTTTAAGAATCTAATTGCATCATTAAAAAGGTATCTATTGAATGTTTTAAAAGTCCCCAAGAACATTCTTAGTAATAAGGGAAGGTTCTAAGAATATTCCATTATTCCAGAATCTTCTTAGAAGATTCTTAGAATCAAATTTTGCTATCAGAGTTTACCGAGTAACTTAGATACTTTTTTAGATACAAGTTAAAAGATACTTAGTTAATACAAAGTAACTTAGTTAAAGATACTTTCTGTCCAATATAAAAAGTATCTAAGATGAAGTATCTAAGTAACTTTCAAGTATCTTTATATTCAAGATACTCCCAGCTCTGATTATACACCATTTCATTAATAAACTTTTTCCTACATTTCCACTTTGGTCTCCAGCAAAAAGGCATCCATTCAGAAAAGCAATTGCCCAAAATTCCGTATTTTCGTCTTGATCAATCGTGTTTTTTTCTTTTAATGTTTCCAAGTCCCAAGTTTTAATTGTGCCTTCATTAGAACACGAATATAAGGAATCTTCATTGGCAGCTAAGTAATAAACTGAACAAGGATGTGCTTGTACTTCTGCTTCCAGATTTAATTTTGTAGACCATACCTTCAAATTGATTTTTGATTAATATTTGAACACTCAAATATGATAAACAACTTACTTTAATTTTGCCATCATCTGACCCACTGTACAATTTCCCTTTATAATATAGAATATGATTGATATCCCATTCATGTTTATCATTTTCAGAGGCTTGCGCAGCTATTTTTAACGTCATATTTTTCCCAAGACTAAAAATAAAACTTGGAGGTCAATAAACAATGATTCACTTGCATTCAAATCGATTATTACATACCTTGTACAAAAAAATATTATTAAAACTTATTAACTTAACACCCACTGAAGTGCAAAAGAAATTTTCAATTACAGAATGCAGTGTCCGAATTCGTTCGTATATAATAATAAACTTGGACAGATTTGGAACGCATCTGTTATTTATAGATGTGTTTTCTAGAGAGATGCTTTTGAATCCAAATATTTACGCGAAATAATATGCTAGAATGTTGTGGAAAAATATTGAGAATTGAGTTTTCATAAAAAATTTTATTGTTAGTGGCAGTGGCGTGGCGTCATAATTAAAAAAATCTTTATAATGTGTTTTTCCAAAAACTTATTTATAAATTTGAATGTCTATAAATATTAATTTGGAAAATGTTTAGAAATTTTAAAAAATAAAAACTTGAAGAGTTTAAGATTTTTGTATAATATTTTCCGGTGTTGCCAAATTTTAAAAAATTCACACAATCACGTGTAATAGACATTATACGCCAAAAAATAATTAACAAAGTAAGCTATTGTTAAACTAGCTTAATTTTCTCCGAAATTTTTTACAATTTTTTTATTGTTGTCAAATTTACAAAAATTCCCATAATCTGAGAATTTTTTAAAATCAGGATAAGGGTGATTCTACAAAAGTTGTTCAACTTTTTATATAGTTTTCGAAGAAAATTAAACAGTATTTTGTTATAAGAACATACATAATATAATAAATATACTGTTTCAGACCGGGCCAGTCACTTTTTCAAACAGTTTCTGAAATATCTGTGTTTTCTAAATTTGAATGCAAGGGAAGTGACGAGTATACCAGGGTACTAATTAAATACATAATTTATTAGAAAATATAAAATTTATTGCAACTTTGAGCATTAGGGTGGGCCGAAAATCCGCTTTTTTAGAATTTCGTTTAGTAATAGCAAAAATTTTGTTCATTATGTTGTAAAAAAATTTTGTGTAAAAGATTAAAATTTTCGATCAACATCCTAGGCTCGCCCAACGCAATTAAAGATCAAAATGTTCAAAAAAAATTTTTCTTAATTTATTTCGATCGGAAATTTTATGCTCTACACAAAATTATTTCAGATGGATAGTTTCAGAAATTTGTTCATTATGTTGTAAAAAAAATTTGTGTAAAAGATTAAAATTTTCGATCCTCATCCTAGGCTCGCCCAGCGCAATTAAAGATCAAAATGTTCAAAAAAAAAATTTCCTAACTTAATTCGATCGGAAATTTTATGCTCTACAAAAAAGGTCCTTACACTAAATTACTTCAGATGGATAGTTTTAGAAATAAACCCGATTTTAGTATCAAAATTTTTTTGAACATTTTGATCTTTAATTGCGTTGGGCGAGCCTAGGATGTTGATCGAAAATTTTAATCTTTTACACAAAATTTTTTTACAACATAATGAACAAAATTTTTGCTATTAGTAAACGAAATTCTAAAAAAGCGGATTTTCGGCCCACCCTATTGAGCATATATTACACATTAAATATCTTAAAATCAAATAATTGAGATTATAATTCGGATTTAAGTATTTTACTGATATTTTTATTAGTGGATGCTACTTATCACAAATCACATATAGCCTTATATAAATTACAATGAAATATATGTCGGCCATTCCAAGCCCATGGACAGGACACATCAGAAACATGTCTAAATATATTCTTGTTACTTCCTTAAGTTTACTTATTTTTTCTACGAGTATTTATGAGAAGTATTAGCCAAATTTGGCTAATACTTCTCATAAATACTCGTAGAAAAAATAAGTAAACTTAAGGAAGTAACAAGAATATATTTAGACATGTTTCTGATGTGTCCTGTCCATGGGCTTGGAATGGCCGATGTACGTAAGAAAATATCTACCTACCACAGTATTGAAATTTTGACTGGAACTATACGTGCATTCACCACAACTTCGCCGCTTGCAATGTTTTCAAGATGACTGTCGTGCAAAGGGCGGGCTCTGTAGGTAATTTTTACCAACACTTGAGTTAAAACGAGGACTTGCCGTTTAAACTTCAATATTTCGCAGGAATTTTGAATTTTAACATTGGACACAGAACTGACGGGTAAAAGTGAGTACAAAGATTATCAATTTTATAAAAATTGCTATCATTCGAATCTATGATAAAATATGAAAAATACATTATTTAATGTTTTATAGTTTGTAGTGAAATTAAAAAATTTAAGATAAATTGAATATATTTTAAAATAAAATCACTCAAATATTTGATTCAGGAGTTGTGACACGCCAAGGTACTGATGTTTTGAGTATTTATTATGTTTTTCTACAAACGTGCTTTTGAAAAAATACATTAAAATTGGGTGGACAAGTTAAAAAACCTGGATCTTTTGTAATATACTAAAATATTTACAAAAATTATTAAAATACCTACTCTATTGACTGATGGCATCCAACTTTTGTAGAATCACCCATAACTTCAGAAAGTCGTTTTGAAAAATTCGTTTGAAAAATTTTAAGAAGACAGGAAAATTTTTGCCACGTTGACAAATTTATCTACAAAAATTTCCATTTTGGAATTTTTTTTTTTAATTTTCCAAAACCTTTAAAATTTACGAATTTTACAAAATTTTAGGAAATTTTGAAAAATTCTCAATTTTTTTTATAATTTTTTCCGGTGTTGCCAAATTTACAAAAACTCCCAGACGGCAGGAAAATTTTTGCATTTTTGTAAAATTTTTAATTTTTTTAAAATTTACCTAAATCATAAAAATTTACAAATTTTTCAAAATTTATAAATTTTTTAAAAATTTCAAATTTATATATATGTACTTTTAATAACTTGCTCTTTTTATTTTGGAACTGCCACTGTTTGGATCTTTTCCAATTTCTTTTTGTTATTATTTTGTAAAGCCTACTCAAGACCCACCTACGCATTAATCGTAATCATAGCTTAAAGTTTATTTTTAGTAAATCTAAACTTTTTTGAATGAAATATAACTGATTTTAGCAATGCTCTATTTGTAAAGGGTGACTCAAAATAGCATACCAACTTCATACCTCGCGATAGGGGACAGAGCTCTGTGAGAAATGACTTGTGACAGCTAGCTGTCACAAGTCATTTCTCATTAAAATAATAAAACAAAATAAGATATAATTTTTTTTTTAAATGACTAATTATAATTATTAGGCCTCAATCTATAATAGTATATTATGTATCAAGTTTGATAAACGCCATTTTATACACGAATTTAATTTAGGCACGAGCGAGCTTGCGAGCGAGTGCTTAAGTTAATGAATGTATAGAAAAGTTTATAAACGAGGTGCATACTATACTTTTTCTACGACAAATACTTATTATTATCTTAAAATGATTTAAATCAAAAATTTGTATAGAGCGCCATCTATGAAACAATAGGGGAATCTGTGTGTCACTGTCAAATGTCACATTTTTAAATTTTATAAACACACATTATGAAGGTTACAAATCGAAATGTATTTATTGAAAATTGTCAGTTTTTCACAGTGAAAGTAAAGAAAATGTTTTATGAGGACTTTACAGTGGAGTCCGTGCCCGAATTTAATTTATAGTTTACTGCCGGCGAAATTAAAAGGTCAGTACAATGTTCATATAAACTTTTCAAATATTGGCGTTGAGGAACTATTTAATACTTTTGTATTGAGATAATAAAATAATTTTCACATTTAGTATTATTTTACAAGAAAGGCACTTTATTTTAACGATTGTATGACATTTGACAACTGTCAACTAACTTAAAACTAACTTCAGCCCCTGACTAAAAACCTGTTGCTAACTTCAGCCCGTGACTAAAGCGCCATAAAGCCACAACTTGTTAATGGGTATTTAAAAGTTCACTTAGTGTCATGGAAACATGTAACGGTAAAGGGCGTTTTAAAGGTGGGAGTAGAAAAAATATTTTATCTACTCCTACGTTGACAAGATGTGACTTTATGGCGTTTTAGTCACGGGATAAAGTTAGCACCAGTAGCTTTTGGGCATTTTAGTCACGGGCTGAAGTTAGCTTTATTATAAATTGGGGAAAAGTGAGGTTAAATCCGTTGACATTTGACAGATGTCAAATGTTTAACAAATAAAATTGGCTTTAAATTCTTCTTTGTGTTTGTCGTAAATAAAGTATAGTATGCAACTCGTTTTATAAACTTCTCTAGACACTCCTTTTGATTAAACACTCGCTCGCAAGCTTCGCTTGTGCCTAATAAAACTTGTAACTAAAATGGCGTTTATAAAACTTGATACATAATATACTATTCTGGTAAAGGAATTATTAAAAACCAATGTACAGGTAGTTTTTATATTATAAGGTTTTTAGATTGAATTTTATTTTAGTTATTTTAATGTTTTGAAACCATCTATTTATACAGGGTGTTTCACATTCGTCGTCCAAGTTTCTGGGGAAGGGAAAAAGATATCGATTTTAAATTTAAAAAACGTTTATAATCCATTTAAAACATTGTTTAAAAAATTCTTTGTGAATTATTTAACATTTTACCTTGTTTATTTGTTTTCATAACATCCATTTTTAGATGTTTATTTGATAATAATAATATTATATGCTTGGAAATTAATTGTGAAAAAATATTTTAAAAAATTCTGCAGTAGGTAAAATAAACACAACACAAAATAAATCTTTATCTGATTTTTTATTAACACCAAAATTCTTTTTTGACACATCACAATACAAACACTAAACATCAACAATTAGGCACTTAAACCTCAAACATAAATCTACTTCTTTCCCTTCTTCTTCTTCTTCTGAAGATCCGGCCAGGGAAATCCTCTCCACTTCAACAGATCCTGCACATTGTGACAAGTTACGTACGCGTTTTCCATTGCAACCTCCGTAAAAATATCAACGTTGCATCCGCTTTTCGAGCGCCCTTTTCGGCCGCTTTTCTTCACCTTCGCCCCCTTTTTCTTCCCTTTTTTCTCGCCGTTTTTCGGTTTATTGTTCTTTGGTTTTTTCTTCTTGGCTTTGCCTGGCATCGCGAGGCACTGGCCGCAAAAGTGTTGCGGGTTTTTAAGTGGTTGTCGTGCGGTGTTTGTTTAATCAATAGTTTTGCTGCAAGCTTGTTTTATCAATATTTGCGTTTTTAGGGGTGAATGTATAATAAACTTATACCTACATTTGCCAGTTTTGCAACATGCTTGATTTAACTCGCCAGAGTACCTAGGTTTAAAAACATTTAATAAATTGCCAAATTCTATAAAGGAATCTAAAAACATATATACTTTTAAAAATAAATTAAAGCAGTACTTATTATCTCTGTGTTTATATGAAGTATCTGAATTTTTAAACCAGTAATCTGAATTACAAATATGTTTTTTTTTAAGTTGTACCTCTTTATTTTGTATTTTATATGTATTTTATTTTATTCTAGTTTAGCCCTAAGTTAGTTTTAAGTCTTTTATTGTGCTATTTACCGACCATTCCTATACAAATACTGTTTGTCAATTTGGAAAAATAAAGATTATTATTAATATTATTATTATTATTTTTATATTGTATTTATATAAATATATATGTTCGTTGCGTTGAGTATGTTGAGTATGTTGCGCGATTAAAAGATGGTTTAACAAAAAACAAAACTTTATTTTAACATGGTTGTGTATATGACTAAGTTTAAATTCTTAATTTTAAAATAGTAAAATCTAGGTAAAATACACCAAAAAAGGGGAGGGCGTTGCAGCCACTTGACGGCTAATATCTTCCAGATGTCATAGCAGAATTGATTCTCCCTTTTCTTGGTAATTGCTTTTACTTGTAAATATTATGCACTTGTTAAACAGATAATTTATAATATATGGGCCAAGCGTAAACAATATATTATATGTATACATGGGTGAATGATTCACCGTGAATCTCACGAAATGTCCCTCGATGGTGTTACCCCGTGATATTTAATAAAACTAAATGAGTTGGACCTACACTTTTATTGTGTTTTGATCTTTCATAATTAAGTAGATATTACAGCTCAGGTTCCAGATTTTTAACCGCAATTAATTATTTTTTACAATGTTTTAAAAGTCCAAAAGATGGTTTTCGAATATCTGAGGTAGTAAAAGCTTACTAAAAACATCAGTTCACTAAGTATATCAAAACACATCCAAAGCAACAAATCAAATATAAAATAATATTAAAAATTAAAATAAATAATTTTTATAACCATTTATGTGGGTTGAAAATTGATTCTATCCTCCGTGAATCTGTTTTTGCTTTAAATTTTATGCAACGGATGGCGCTTTAATCATTGTAAATAAGCAAAAACCTCTGTTTACGACATATTATATGTATATTATATATATTATTATATGCAGATGAGAGTGTTGCTGTTTTATAATTCAAAAGTGTAAGTTCGTTAATTTGCTATTTAAAAACATATCCACCGTGAAGTGTAATATCTCAGTAAGTTGATTTTTTTCATAAATATTATATACGAGGTGTGTTCAGAAAATATCGGGAATTTTCGTTTTTTGAAACAAATATTTCTTTATTCGTCTACATTAATGTTGTCGCCTTCAAAATAGTCCCCATTGGATATTATGCACATGTGCCAGCTCTTCTTCCAATACTTGAAACACTTCTAAAACTCGATGCGCTTTTAATGTCATCTATGCTTGCAAAACGACGGCCCTTTAAGGTTCTCTTTATTTTTGGGAATAGGAAAAAGTCAGACAGAGGCATGTCTGGCGAATATGGAGGCTGGGGCATCATTACAGTATTGTTTTTGGCCAAAAATGTTGTTCAAAATTTAACAATTTTAGAACAAATTTTGCTGCCACGCGTTTCATACTCAAAACATTCGAAAAAATTTCATGGGATGAGCCAATCGATATACCAACATCATCAGCGACTTATCTGATGGTTTATAACCATTTCTTCCACTTTTTCCATGTTTTTATCGGTTGTTAATGTGCTTGTGCGTTCGGAGCGTTCGTCATCTTCAACGTCTTCACGGCCATCTTGGAAACTCTTATACCACTTGTAAACTCTTGTTTTACTTATAGCAGACTCACTATAGGCCTTTGTTAACATTTCACAGAATTTATTTAATTTTTTAAGCAAAATTGGATACAAATTCTTAGATCCATTTCATTTAACGAACGAAAATCGTCGAGCTCATAAAAACACTTCTAACCTTAGCGGCTGCCACAGACAAACGAAAACTATGAAAACAGCTAAAGTTTTTATCATACTTTGGGGGCATGTATACCAACATAATAAAGAAAATTGTATGACAACCGGGCCCACTGAACCCGCGAAATTTAAAAATTCCCGTTATTTTCTGAACACACCTCGTATAATATTGTTACCCTAAAGTAAATTTTACTATATTTTTTTTTACTACCTAAAATTTACTAAACATTCCGTGTACATAGAAAATTGATATTCTTTAAAAAAAAAAAGGGCATTTTAATCAAAGTTACAAGAATTAGTTTTGTTGTTAAAAATTCTTTGCTCACCTAATTGAAAAAAAAAATTATCCATATAATATATATTATAGCCCACTGTATTATAATGGCTGTTGTTGGCGATATGTTTTAGATATCAGTGAATTCATCTGTAGAATGGTGTCTTAGTCTCTGTAGATTATTTGTCTGTTTAGTTAAAGTTGTAGTTTTCTTTTATTATTTATGGGGTTTAGATCTTGTTAAGCAGTTTATTATTATTTATACAGGGGAAAATTGATTCAAATACACAATTTTATTTAATCTTTTGCTTGCAACCCAATATTAAATATTTCTTATCAAAATCATCATTTATAACAAGTTAGTAATAAGAAAAGTGTCAAAATCCTTAGCAACGTGTAAACAAGGTGATAAAAAATATTGTCGCGTAACCATGGAATACTGGCATTTTATTGGTTTTAATTATAATGAATTGTATTGTCGGAAAAATAACCAAAACATGAGAAAATTGCTTAGGGGTCCTTATTACCCTACACTCCCCTACTTACTGTACAAGAAAATAGTTTCCTCCAGAAAATTTGGTTTTAACTTCTTTCATAAAACATACTTTTTAAGAACCCTTAAAACCAATATACACGGAGAGAAATGTATAGTAAATTTTAGATAGTAAAAAAAAATATCGTAAAATTTACTTTAACAAATTTTTAGGGTAACAATATTATATATTCGTCGATACAATATTAAGATTGTAATACAAAATAGTATTTTTTATTATACAATTTTAGTAAAGATTACAACACCAATATTACTAAATCATAAATGTATATCTAATATATATTTTATTTTTAATATGTATGTTCGTATAGTAAATTGATTTTACTATCTACAAATAGTAATATTTTCTATATGATTTAATCAAATGTAAGGTGTACATCTAATATTATAATATATTACACATTAATAAAAAAATATAGTAAAAATAAAGATACTTTTATGTTTAAGGTAAATAAACAATATATTTAAATATAATATACCTACAATATAGTAACTCATGACATTTTAAACATTCAATTTTCTTAGTTTCTTCAATAAACTTTCTTGACCCATTACTTGTAATACTTATAAGAAATAATAGGTTGCATAGTATGTGCCAATTGCGGCAAAGGCCACGCCGCGACGCGTCGTTAGACGGTGTGGATCACGTGATGTTCTTACATCTCGCCTCTGTTGGCTTACCAACCATGTTATATAAGCTCAGGTATTTCTTTGTTTTGGGTGTGTTCCACTACTACAAGTTGCTCGACAGTGTTGTGTCGACACTGATGATACCCAATACGCACTCAAAACGAAATACTTTGGCGAGGTGTGGGTTCAATTCTTTCTCATAACATTTTTGTTTATTAAAAAGTACAATAAATATGTTACAATTTTTAATTGTTAACATATAAAATATTTGATTTTAAATCTGGCAATATACAAGATAGTTGTAATTATGTTAATCAGCATTATACTTTTCTCTCCGTGTGCTATAAAGCAAAATAGTCCTTAAGAGTCTATTAAGTAAATATGGTTTTATAAGGGTGTAAATGACATCCCATAAAAAAATTTAATAATCGGAGAAACTATATTGTTGCATATAATTATTACGAAAGAGTTATTTTTAAATCAGTATCGACACTGCAAGTATACTTATAAGCAAGGAGATTCCAACATTTCGTCAGCGACTTGTAATCCCACGCTTGTAAACGACGCGAGATCGCGTCGCGATATACTTAAGATAATATAAGTAACAAAACTCGAAATTTCAGAGCCGCAGTCTGTTAAATTCGTTCCACCAAAAACATCAAAATTATAAAGATTTGTTTACCTACATAAATTTTCAAAATGGTTGCTGCCATCGGGATAGATTTGGGTACCACGTACTCTTGTGTTGGCGTTTGGCAACATGGTAAAGTCGAAATTATCGCCAATGACCAAGGAAACCGAACCACCCCCAGTTATGTGGCTTTTACGGACACTGAAAGGCTTATTGGGGATGCCGCCAAAAGTCAGGTAAATATATGTTTTTTAAAACTGCATTCACAATTTTTTTTTAACTGTATTAACTTTGACCTTTATTTTTTTATATACAGAAATGTAAAACTATTTTACCCATTATATTATTTTATTTTACGTTTAAATTTAAAAAGTTATTTTTAAACATTTCTTCATAAAATTTAAAAATCCCAAATTAATTAGTAGGACTTTGCAATTAATAAAAAATGTAACATATGATTAATACAGTATTTTTAGAATGTTTCGAGTTTACGAATAATTTTATCCGACCTGGCTTTTGCCCAAAAATCTATAAAAATGCGTTTATTGGGAACCAAATATAATTTCCAACCATTCGTTAATACAAAAATATCAAAAATCCTAACATTTAAAAAAATCATTTAAATCACTCTGTTAACATATTTAATCATATATTATGTACCTACCTATCAAGTTTTATAAACGCCATTTTATACACGAATGCTTAAATTAATGAGTGTATAGAAAAGTTTATAAACGAGGTGCATACTATACTTTTTCTACGACAAATACTTATTATTATCTTAAAATGATTTAAATCAAAAATTTGTATAGAGCGCCATCTATAAAACAATAGGGGAATATGTGTGTCACCGTCAAATGTCACATTTTTATTATTTTATAAACACAAATTAAAAAGGTTATTAATCGAAATGTATTTCTTAAAAATTGACAGTTTTTCACGGTGAAAGTAAAGAAAATGTTTTATGAGGACTTTACAGTGGAGTCCGTGCCTGAATTTAAGTTTAAGTCAATGTTCATATAAACTTTTCAAATATTGGCGTTGAGAAACTATTTAATACTTTTGTATTTTTGTATTGAGATAATAAAATAATTGTCACATTTAGTATTATTTTACAAGAAAGGCACTTTATTTTAACGATTGTATGACATTTGACAACTGTCAACTAACTTAAAGCTAACTTTAGCTAAAAACTTGTTGCTAACTTCAGCCCGTGACTAAAGCGCCATAAACCATAACTTATCAATGTGTATTTAAAAAGTCACTTCGTGTCATGGAAACATGTACGATAAAGGGCGTTTTAAAGGTGGGAGTAGAAAAAAGACTTTTTGTAAAGCGTAAAATATGTCTTATACAGGGTGTCCCAAAAATAGTGTGCTGTTTATAGAGCTAAAAATAGGAAGAAAACATTTGACATGGAAAACTATATTTTTTTATATTCTGCACACAAAAAAAACTGGGGAAAAAATACATTTTGTTGTTATTTTTAAATTCAGCTTAAAAAGTTAAGTACCTAAGTCTACAAAATTTTATTATTATACCTTGTTCTACTCCCATCTCTAAAATTTTCCTTTATCGTACATATTTCCAGTTATCTCTTAAATGCACATTGACAAGTTGTGGCTTTATGGCGTTTTAGTCACGGGCTGAAGTTAGCAAAAAGTTTTTAGTCACGTAGGTAACAGTTTTGTACATCATGTTGGTTAAATGTGGCCAAGCATTAAAAATTCATCCTATATACATAATATGAATGCTGCACATTTTTTATGTTTTGATTTTATTATATTTCTTTTGAAATCGAAATTAAGTTTTGCCCTTAAAAGTTCTTTTACTTTAGAATCTGATATTATTTTTGGCATAGTTATCTTTTTACATCGATATTATATAATAATTAACAAGTAAATTATCAATAAGCTGGAATAAGCTACCAACACGAGTCCAAATAAAAAAAATTAAATGTACAAACAAACAAATAATTGTAAATAAATAACTTATAAATTTGGCTACCAAAACCATCGTATCACATTCATGACCACATGTTGCGCTGTGTGGTAACGGCCGTATTTGGTAGCGTAGCACGTGAAGGTGCGCCTACTTATCTAAAAACTTATCGCCATGTAAGGCGATGTTGCCACAGCGCCATGCCATAAACAATTTCATTGAAACTGCACTACGAACAAATTTCGAGTAATTACTGTCCATTTTGATAAAGTAGATGTTGCAAATTACCATTGGCATGTTTGTTATTTAATTTTATGTTATTTTTTGTTCCAATATGGAAGTTGTCTATAGACATATTTCAAGATTTATGTAGTTTATGGGTTTATATGTAATTTTTAATGTTTAAACTGTAGACATTTTATATGTTATTTATAATTTTATTTTTGCTTTTTACATTTCTCTTTATTTTTTATATTGTTTTATTATTACTATATTTTTCTGTCCAAAATATTATGTTTTTAATTCTAGATGACACGTTTGAAATAATTTTACTCAGAATTTTATGTAGAATTTAAAAATGTTTAAATATATGGGGTGTATTTAAAATAACAAAGTCCGGTTAAATCGGAAGTGACATTTTTTAAAATATTTTAGAAAAATAGACTTAAAAGGATGTCATACGCTTTTAAAATTTTAAATCGATATCTTTTTCTTGAATTTACTATTTGATTAGGTAAAAACATACCGGGTGTTACATTTAAAATAAAAAGTTATTAACGTTTCAAGTTAGCCTAATTTGCCTTGGGTTTTATCAGCTAATTTGTTAAAAAATCTTAAAGAATTGACATGGAATATTTTAAACAATGTTTTAAGATTCCAAAAATTACACCCCCATATCCGCAAACCTAAAAACAAAAAGTTATACGCTAAAGAAGTATCGCTAGTAGCGCCACCACTCGGCTGTTATCTTCATAACAAAAATAGAACTTTTATTAATCAGCTGTCAAACGCTTATAAAACAAACGAGTGTTTTTGAGAATAAAGCCGAAAAATGTTAAAAAAATATCGAAAAAAACCGTGGATCGATTTGTGTTGTTGGGTGAATTTCGAGAGGAAATCCCGGGTACATTAGGGTGATTCATTTCCGCAAAGTTTTAGTTTTTTTTCGGTGCTCAAGCAAAATATTAATCTGCATATAGAAAAAAACATTCTCACCAAGTTTGAGCTCTTAATATTAATTTTAAGTACTTACTATTTAAATTTAAAGTTTGCATTTAAATGCAAAAACCCGATACTTCTTTAGCGTATTTTTGATTTGTCAAATTTTAACGAAAAAAATTAATATCTCGAAAATTATTCACTTTAGGTATGGGACATGGTGTAGTAATTTTATTCAGAATTTTATGTAGAATTTAAAAATGTAAAAATATATTTAAAATAACGAAGTTAAGTTGATGTCACTTCCGGTTAAACCGAAAATAGATTTAAAAGGATGTTAACTATGGTTTCGCGTAAAAATCGAACAAATTTTGGACATTTGTTTGCAAGTGATGCCAGAATTGAATATAATTTTTTAACCCTGTTTCTACATCTAAATGGTGCATTTTTTTCAAAAAAAAATTTTTATCCATTGACCGCCGTGGGTTTTAGGCCTTAAGTCACTCTACTGTGTTAAAAATAGATAAATTTTGATATTTTGTAATAACATTTTTATTTAAAAACGTATCGATTTAAAATTTAGATAAAATGTAGACCTTATTAGTGGCAATAAATCCACGTATATTTTTTTTTGGATTTTACCATACAGGGGGCGCTGGGGACAATTTAATTTAAAATTTTACCATTTTTTAAGGCTTAAAAAGTCGAAGAAGCAACGTTGTTTTATAATTTTGAGTATATCACGTGAAAGTACTGATAATTAACTATTATTTGATATATAAACTTTTATATGCAAATTATGTTTCTACGAGATACACCATTTTTAAGTTAGGCCTTCAAAGGGCATAATACTAACGTGTTTTACAAAGTATATATTCTTTTATCTAGTTTTATAAGATTATGTATTGTATATTACATATTATACATTATATATTACATATAATATATTATATATAACATACAATCCTTACATATTTATTTTAAAAAGTCGCCATAGATGGAGCTAAAATTACTTTTATTTATAAATTTTAAATTTTTTCAACTTTACTAATTTTGATCATAGTATGCATCATAGACTTTTCTCTATGGTAACCTACAATTATAGCATGAAATATAATTTGACAGTTCAGTTTATAAGTTGCAAATGACTGATTGCGTTTCAATTTATAAGTGTACCTACTATAAACTCAAAACATTAACTTTTTTTAAATGAATAAACTAAATAATAATTATAGACAGTGTCAGCAAGTTAGACATAATAACCTACTTATAGCTACTTTAATTTTATTTTTTGCTGCACAACCAAGCTTCAATTTATTTTTTACTCGATAAGCAAGCTTTAATTTTCATTCCAAACTGAGGAAAGTAATATTTACCCAATAAATAAATTAGAAAGAGTTTATTTTTTATGTTGCAATTGGCTATTTAGATATATGTATATTTTTTATTAAGTTTGTTTTTGCTTTTTTGTAATTGGTTATTTACCAATATAATATAATGCCATACAGGGTGTTTCTGAAGAAACGCAAACGATATAGATTTGATATTTTAATAGCATATACAATTTGATATAGACTATACAATTATTATTAGTTTTCAAAATATTATTATTATTTTCGTTAAAATTTTGATAAATAAATGCACGTTAATCAAAAATAGCATCTAATTTTTTTGTTATTATGTTTTAAAACATTGTTTAAATAATTTTTTAAAGGTTTTTCAACAAATAGCTTAAGAAAAAAACACTTGAAATTAGGCAAAGTTCAAACAATAATAACGTTTTTATTTTAAATGTAAAACCCTGTATGTTTAAAAAAAAATTAAAAAATCTTTCGATTGGTATTATAATAACTGTTTCCCAAAGTTAAAATTTCAGAGACCTTTAACAATTTCTAATATTTTTAATACTTACTATTTTGTATCAACAAACCTGTGAAATTATACATGTGGGTTAATGTGATAGTATTCATGGTTACCACCAAATCCATTGTTTAAAATTAATTAAAATATTTGATTGAAAAATTAGTAACTCGAGAAATATTGACTTTAGGAATAGGATATCGTATAGCCATTTTATTCAGAATTTTATGTAGAAATAAAAAATGTAAAAATATATAAGGTTTACTGTTTACAATAACAAAGTTAAAGACATTTCCGGTAAAACAGGAAGTACTATTTTGTTCAAAATAATTTAGAAAAATAGACTTAAATGGATTATAAACTCTTTTAAAATTTCAAATAGATATTTTTTCTTGTTCCCTAGAAACTTATAATGGACCACGAATGTGGAACACCCTGTATATAATATAATTACGTATATTAGTGGCACACTAAAGTCTAAATCGAATAATTTACGCTATTAAAATTTTAAATCGATGACTTTCGCGATTCCCCAGAAACTTCTAACGGACTACTTACGTGAAACACCCTGTATATTAAACGTCATTTATAAATATATGTGTTATGCTATACTTAATTATTAGTAAAAGATACAACAATATTAGTATAAAAATGACAAAATGTACCAAACTAAACATTTATGAATACTGCTACTGCTAATTCAAAACTCATCCTGGCCACAGAAACATCATTTGCATAAAAAAGTTAATATATCAAATAATAGTCAAATATCAATACTTTAACGTGTTATACTCAAATTTATAAAACTATGTTGCTTCTTCGATTATTTACCCTTTAAAAATTGTTAAATTTTAAATTAAATTATCACCAGCGCCCCCTGTACGTTACAATCTAAACAAAATTTTTAAATGGAAGAATTGTCATTAGTAAGATCTACATTTTGTCCAAATTTCAAATCGATACGTTTTGAAATAAAAAAGTTATTTACAAAAAATAAAATTTCTTCATTTTTAACACAATGAAGGAAAAAATAAATATAAAAACAAAGTTGTCAATGGAGGAGATTTTTTTTTGAAAAAAGTACTGCATTTACATGTAGAAATATGGTAAAAAAGTTTCAATCGATTTCTTGAACCCTTGCAAATCGACCGTTCGATCCTTTCGCGAAACCGTAGTTAAACGCTTTTAAAATTTTAAATCGGTATCTTTTTAGGTTGCCCAGAACCTCTAAAATTATACTAATTTTTTAGGTCGCCATGAATCCAAAAAACACAGTCTTCGACGCAAAAAGATTGATCGGAAGGCGCTTTGACGACCAAAAAATCCAGGAGGACATGAAACACTGGACATTCAAAGTAGTAAGCGACAGTGGCAAACCAAAAATCCAGGTCGAATACAAAGGGGAGACCAAAGTCTTTGCCCCGGAAGAAATCAGCTCGATGGTCTTGACCAAAATGAGGGAAATAGCTGACACCTACTTAGGTACGAGTCAATCCATTTGAAAACGCCGAAACTCGTTGCTCGACCATCTTATTTTTTGCTCAAATTTTATAGAAATATTCATTAGGGTCAAATCCGACCTATTCGGATTAAAACTTTTTAAAAACGTTATTTTTTTGCTGTAAAATTTAAGCTGTAATTTTTTTTCTATTAAAGATATTTTAAATTTTGAGATTTTATAAAAAAAATATAAATTCACTTAATCAATAATTCTAAATAATTACACGGTGCTGAAAAATAGTAGATTATGTCATAAGGAGTAGAAGTGACTCTTTTTGTGGTAGTACAGAGATTGACGGCCGAAGCGTAGATGAGGCAGGCAACTGTACGAAGCACAAAAAGAGCTTCTACTCCAAATAACATATGCAATTTTTTTTCAAGAGCGTAATATAAATAGGATAAGCAATATAATTATTTTATTTACTTATAACTCATATGGTATAAAATTTTGGCTAAAAGCATTACAAATTATTGATAAAAACTAAAAAAACTTATAACCCTTACTTACAATGCCGATAAATATCCTAAACTAAAAATAAACACTGCTCTGTCAAAATGCTGCGCTTGAATTAATTTTGACGTACTGACATTTGTTTGGAGTTCCGACATTGGCGACTCGTCTATCATCATAATATTATACTAATAAACTAGTTGTTCTTTATTTCGTTCAATTAAAATTTAATAAATAATCACTAAATATTCCGTGCGATTATAATTAATATAATTAATACATCGTGATTGCTTTCTATGAAATGTTAAATAAATTTTATTATTTGACGTCTATTGAGTCACCTATGGATTTACTTCTATCCCTAGGCTTTTTTGAGTTTTTTGTCTGCCGCTAATGAAAAAGACGCACTTCAACTATCTCTATACATGCATATAAGGTTGTATATCATGGCCGCTTGAAAAAAAAAACGTTTATTTTACTAATTTTTCGTGTTTTTTAAATGCGTCCCGTGTTCGGCTGTTTAATAGGAACAGCTAATTTTTTTTATATATTAAGTTTACATACCAAAGACAAAATAAAACTTACAATTGACCCGTTTGGCATACGGTTTCCAAAAAAAAGTTGCTTGAAATTTTGCAATTCTATAAAATCGCACTATTTAGGCCACTATATGAGGATGTTGACTTCCAAATAGAATTATGAAATGTACAGGATAATTAGTCCCTACCTTGATGTTCATATGCCTGGTAGTTTGGTTTTGTTATTTTCATTTTTCAGCTATTTAGCTTTAAAAGGAGAAAAATATTGAAATATTAAAAAGTCGTATTATTTCATCCATTTTATAAGTATGTTGACTTCAATATAGAAATATGAAATTAACAGGATATTTAGTCCTTACCTTGAAGATTAAATGCCTATTTAACTTGTTTTAATATTTTCATCCATTTTGCTTTTATATGGGCTTTAAAAAACGATTATTGTTTAATTTTCTATTCTAAGAATGTAGAAGTTAACATTTATATGATAATTATCATTATCATCATCAATTTATATAAAGGATAAAATGATGCGTTTTTTAATTTTCCTTGTGTTAGCCTTTTTTAAAGCCCATGTAAAACCAAATGGTTGAAAATATCAAAACAAGTCAAACAGGCATTTCATTTTCAAGGTAAGGACTAAATATCCAGTTAATGTCATATTTCTATATTAAAGTCTACATACTTATATAATAGATTAAATAATGCGACTTTTTATTATTTCAATATTTTTCTCCTTTTAAAGCTACTGACTGTATAACCTTCAAAGATGAAAGTAACAAAACCAAACTACCAGGCATTTGAACATTAAGGTAGGAGCTAATTATCCTGTAAATTTCATAATTCTATTTGGAAGTCAACATCCTTATATGACCTAAATAATGCAATTTTCTAGAATTTTAAAATTTCAAGCAATTTTTTTTTGGAAACCCTATGCCAAAAGGATCAATTGTAAGTTTTATTTTGTCTTTGGTATGTAAACTTTATATATGAAAAAATTTCACAGAAAAAATTAGCTGTTCATATTAAACAGCCGAGACATGGGACGCATTTAAAAAACACGAAAAATTAGTAAAATACACGTTTTTTCAGCACCGTGTAATTATTTAGAAATATTGATTGAGTGAATTTATATTTTTTTTATAAAAAATTCTATTTTTGAGCTTTAAAATGACATCTTAAAATTTAAAATATCTTTAATAGAAAATAATTAAATTATTTAAGCATAGAAATGACGTTTTTAAAAAGTTTTATTTCGATTAGGTCGGATTTGAGCAAAATCCAAGATGGTCGCCCCGATAGCACAAGAGGTTCCCAGGACGTCCATTTCGGGTCCCACATAGGTCCGAACGTCCTAGACCTATATCGGAAGTTTTGGGTACGTCCAGACTCTTACTTATTTGGGAAAATTATAGCGGATATACTGGGTACGTTCCAAGGACGTAATTGAAGCATTGTATTTCCAAAGGGTCTAAGTGCCAAGTTGGTTAAATAATATATTATCAATTAAAAATAGTTTGTGTCATGCAGAATGACTTAATAGTATATTCTGTAACAAGTTTGGAATACAGCATATCCGCTCGAGTGAAGAGTTTGTCACACGAGCCGAAGGCGAGTTTGACGGTTTCAGGAGAGCGGAATATGCAATTCCAAACGACATTTCAACATTTATTTTGTGCAAAATATTTGTTTTTCATTGATAACTCACAATTTTATTTTTGTAAGTTAGACCCCCCAGAAAGCATCCAATTCAGAAAGATTTCTGTACGAAGTCTGTTGAAAAACACCTTACTGAGGTCACAATATGACATCTTAGAGAAAGCATTTTTAGGAGCTCAAGATTAAGAGTTCTTGATGAATTCATAAATAAGAAGTAAATTTTTTAACATCTTAAAGTATCTTTTTTTCTGACCTCTTATTGGAATCAAAATTAGAAGCTACTAAGGGTAGGTATGTATAGATATCTTACAGTATTCTCTTTTCTTACTTCTTACTGAAATCATATTATTAACTCTTTAAGACGTCAACATGGAGACGTCACATTTATGACAGTTTAATGCGATTCTTTTTTCTCACCGCTGTAACTGCTTGTGTTTGATATAAGAAGCGGCGAAGTAGAATTTAGAGCGTGCTTCATACCAAACGGTCTTAGACCTAGGTAAACGGCTATCCGATACTGACGAGCTCCAAAAGAGGGAAACAGTACGTCTATCGGTGCCGGTGAAGAGCACGCTTAAATTTAAACAAAAGTGAGACGGACTAATCGCAATTCCTAAAATATGCGAATACGAGCAAATTAATAAAATGATTTTAATAAAATCCATTTAACAAATTAATAAAATAAGACTTAATTAAGACGTCATATTGCTGTCTGCGTATTTGGGAATACCACTCTTCAATTCTGCAAAGCTTGTCCATTAGTCCCCAATAAAGCATTTCAGGATGGCCAGAGCATGTCTTCCTTAGGACGTTCTGGGGACCGACGATTTGGTAACATCGGATGTCCCTGGAACGTCCTGGGGAAGGTTCAGGACCTGATTCGGACGTACTCGGGACTTACTAATGTCTGATACAAGATATACTCAGGACGTTTCGGCGTTTCCATATGGATTGACTCTTACGCAAACCTTTTCTGTTCTAGGTGGAAAAGTAAACGATGCAGTTATCACCGTACCAGCCTACTTCAACGACTCCCAACGTCAAGCTACCAAGGACGCTGGTGCCATAGCGGGTTTAAACGTGCTAAGAATCATAAACGAGCCCACGGCAGCTGCTTTAGCCTATGGCTTGGACAAAAACCTGAAGGGAGAAAAAAATGTTCTTATATTCGACTTGGGTGGTGGAACCTTCGACGTGTCAATACTTTCCATCGATGAAGGTTCATTATTCGAGGTTAAGTCTACTGCTGGCGATACCCATCTAGGTGGCGAAGATTTCGACAACAGGCTCGTAAACCACTTCGTTGAAGAGTTCAAACGCAAGTGTCATAAGGATTTACGTGGAAATACTAGGGCTTTGAGGCGTCTGAGGACTGCTTGCGAGAGGGCAAAGAGGACTTTATCCTCCAGTACCGAGGCCAGTATCGAGATTGACGCTCTTCACGATGGAGTCGATTTTTACTCCAAGATTTCCAGGGCTAGATTCGAGGAACTATGCATGGATTTGTTCAGATCTACTTTACAACCTGTGGAGAAGTCTTTAAACGATGCCAAGTTGGATAAAGGGGCTATACATGATGTTGTTCTCGTTGGAGGTAAATACGCCTATGTAAATTCACTTAAACAACTCACCTGATAATAATTATAATGATAGTTTTAGAAACTTTTTTTCCCTAACATTCAGTACTCCAGCTTAGTTTAACTAATTTTGGACCGCTGCACTGTGTCGTATTTGACCTGTATAGGTGACCAAAAGTCGATTTTTGAAGTTGCCCTTAAAGCAAAAAAATATACAAAAAATTGATCCTTATGCTTTTCTTGACAATGTACAACCATTTGTTTAATTATAAAATATTAATAAGGACCGTGACGTATAAAATTTTAAAACAATGCACAAACACATTTTTTTATATAAATAACTCGCGCTTGGTAAATATGCGATTAAAACTATAAATTATAATTAACAGGAGTTATATTTGGTAGATTGCTTTAAAATAAATGTCTTTTAAGGTATAACGTTAAAAATTAAAAAAATATTTTATTTTATATATAATAATAGCCGTCCAAATTTTGTCATTTTTTTAACGTGCATTCAAGCAAACTTTTTGCAAATAGTAATGGTGCCCCAGGTTGCCCCAATTTCTTTTGTGTGTGGAAGTGTTTGTTAATATATGAATAATGGTCGTTATTAAGGATTTTGACGGGAAATGTTGAGAAACTTGGCTACACTTGATTTTATGTCAAAAAATGTGTATTAGAGCTCATTTTTTTAAATTTTGTCTTTATTTTCCGAGTTTTTTTAAATCTAGCGCCTTAAAATTAATTAAAAATATAAAAATAATAAATATATATATTAATTTAAAACTAATTTGGTCATTTAAAAATAAATGTCATGTTGCTTTGACGCAAATACTCGAATATATATTTTTTTACTTTTGTCTTTAGTTTTTCTAAAATAACTCATTCTATATAAATATATATATATATTTAAAAAATAACATTTTATTATGAGGGACAGTATTGAAAATTTTGTTTTATCCTAAATGTATACGTTCTTAAAGGGGTTTCTTTTAATATTTTACCTCCATTTATTTATTACTTACCTATATTTAAAAATTGGCAAAAAGGGAGTAGATAAACAGAGCCCAACTGCAGAATTTCTTGTAGCTCTGCAAAGACCATTTTTTAAAATGGATTCAAAAAATATTCAAAGAATTACCCTCCCGGTCTAATACACTCCAAAAAACTCTATATTGAAAACAAGGCGGAAGAAATTATGACATTCAAAACACGCTTAAGGGGTATAATAATATATAATTTAAACAAAATCGGAGTATCCTAAACCAGAAGAAAGCCCAATTCAGAAAAAGATAAAATACTACAGGCCCTATAATAATGGAACCTGAACAGCTGCACGCTTATAGGGATAAAAGATCCCTCGATTCTAAAAACCCGAGACACAGGGTATAATAGACCTAAAGGTCCCCTGAGCCTATAATAATATTTAAGAAACGATAGCCAAGTGGCTATAAAAATAACTTCTTAACTTTCTTGCTAATAACATCCATTTCAAATAGCAAAATTTAGCAATCTAACGGATTTGAGAAAAATGAATGGCAGATGAGGTATCTAAACAGAAAACTTTAACAGGATAAGAGTACAAGTGCGGAATCCCTTTTAGCTCTGCAAAAGGCCATTAAAAACATAAAAAAGTACGGAGAATAAGAAGTTGTAAAAATCGAAAATAATAAAATTGGTATCGTCCCAGAAAAAATTTAACACCCTGTATAAATTAAATTACAACATTAAAAAATATGTATTAATTCAAATATTTTTGTTCCCTACAAATTTTTCATGACTACAGTTGTTTTTGAGATAGGCATATGGGTTATCTTACGTGGTTCACCCTGTACTTAGCTTCTTTTAATCCTAACTAATGGTTAAATTTATTAAAAATTATCTTTTTGTATAACAAAAAAGCATTTTCAATATGTTTTTCAATAAAAATATTTTTGGTCACCTAATCACTCTGTTTACGACATAGTGCGCTGATTTCAAAAATGTTATTCGTTTTTCTCTAGGACGTCTTGATCTTTCATTAAACGTCGTATATCAGGTTCATTTAATATTCCTGCAAAATTAAAGTAGTGGGTATATCTCATAAAATTTTGTAATAAAATATTGCGTTGGTTTTTCTTGGGCGTAAAGGTACCGCAACATAAACAAAACAAATTTAGAACGACGACATAAAGGTTCGTCCCCTTTCTCTTTCTCTGCCACTTCCATTACCACTTCCATTTAGTGCTCTTTTTTCATTTTTGGTTCCTAAAATCACTTTCAAGTAAAAATACAATTTAAAGTTTAAATTTTAAATGTCAAAAATTAATAGATGCACTTTAGTGTGCTTGAACAAAGTAGATAAAGACGCCTTTACACTTTAATTCGATATTAAATTTTGATAAGACTTATAAATAAGATTGGAGATTTAATTTTTGGGGACTTTAGGCATGATGTGAATAAAAAAATATCAAATTGTTGCCTTTTCAATTTGAATAGTAATTAATGTATGTTGTTTACATCCTCTTCGCTTTGGTGGTGATTTGGTAAAATAAATGTACTATAGACAACATTTTGAACAACTTTTGTTACTATTTTAGGTTCCACAAGAATCCCAAAGGTTCAGAAAATGCTCCAGGACTTCTTCTGCGGCAAACCCCTTAATCTTTCCATCAACCCTGACGAAGCCGTGGCTTACGGTGCCGCCGTCCAAGCCGCAATCCTCAGTGGCGATACTAGCTCGCAAATCCAAGACGTGCTATTGGTGGACGTTGCACCTCTTTCCCTTGGTATCGAAACTGCTGGAGGCGTGATGACGAAAATCGTTGAAAGAAACTCAAGAATACCATGCAAACAGCAGCAGACCTTTACAACTTACTCTGACAACCAAAATGCTGTAACCATTCAAGTTTTTGAAGGAGAAAGAGCTATGACGAAGGACAACAACCTTTTAGGTATATATTAGGGTGATTCATTTCCGCAAAGTTTTTTTTTTTCCGTGCTCAAGCTAAATATTAATCTACCTATAAAAAAAAATTTCACCAAGGTAGAGCTCTTAATATCAATTTTAAGTACTTGCAGTTTAAATTTAAAGTTTTCCCATTTAAAATGCATGTAAAAAAAATTTTTTTTCAAATTTATAATGCTCGCCCGCTTTTTACAATATTGTGAATCGGTTTTATGGACCTTATAGGGAATTTCACGCTCTTCAAAATTGTCTTTGTGTTTTTTTGTGTAACTCGTAGTGGTTCGCCAGCAGGAGTCATCAAAGTTCAATTTTTTGAATGAACATTTTTTTTTTTAAATTTTTTTTAACAATTCGCAAAAAATAGTGAAAAAAAAAGAGCTGAATCGTAAAAAATAGTCTTTTAACAAGTACTTGATGAATTTACGGCCATTTTTATATCTTAAAACGTAAGTAATTGATAAATATTAACCAATTATGCTATTTAAATTAAACTTTCTTATTTACTATCGATATAATTCTCTACAACAATAAGTTTTTCAGAGTTATTATGATTTCTGACTAAAAATAAATATAAACATATCACATCAATTCATAAAAAAAAACCAAAACTTTAATCAAAACAAATAACAGATTACATTATTAGATAATATATTGCAAATAAAAATCTCAATAGTCATAAATAAACAAGTTGATAAATATTAAATTATTTCGACTTTTATACAAAGCAAATTAAGATTTTATTTTATGACGTAACTAACGTGCCCTTAACATGTATACAGGTACAATTTATTATTATATTATTGTTGTGCCGCCAATTTTAAATTAAGCGGCACGGCAGTGATGACGTTTTTTATCTATTACGTCACTAGCGTGCCCGTAAAAAATAAATTGCAGGCACTCTAACGTGCACCTATTCACTTCGTACTTTGTTCTCGGACTAATCACCAAATACAACAAACAATACATTTTGGGGTTAAGTATAACATAAAGCATCAAACCCGTTTACATAGACAATAGAGTCGCTAACGTCATACTAATTAACTAGAGCAATCATAAAATTGTAACAGTTGCTTTCCCAAACAAATAATTATCATTATTTTTTTACTTATGTTCGAATATGCCATCAAAATATTATTTAGTGCAATTATTCAAATAGCAATTTCTACTTATACAATATTGAAGCAAATGAAGCTGACAATAAAAACAATTTACTTTTTCGTTAATTTAAGAATTTTGTTAAAAAAATTGAATAACCTTCATTTATATTTATTGCTATATTACGGAAATGTTGAAAAATTGCAGAATCTAAGTTGCAATTGTATATTTGTTGTTTTTTTTATAAATTAATGTGTTTTTTTATATTTATTGTAAGTCAAAAATCATAATAACTCTGGAAAAGTTATTGTTGTAGAGAATTATATTGATAGTAAATAAAAAAAGTTTAATTTAAATAGCATAATTGGTTAATATTTATCAATTACTTACGTTTTAAGATATAAAAATGGCCGTAAATTCATCAAATATTTGTTAAAAGACTATTTTTTACGATTCAGCTCTTTTTTTTCACTATTTTTTGCGAATTGTTAAAAAAAATTGCAAAAAAATGTTCATTCAAAACATTGAACTTTGATGACTCCTACTGGCGAACCACTACGAGTTACACAAAAAAACACAAAGACAATTTTGAAGAGCGTGAAATTCCCTATAAGGTCCATAAAACCGATTCACAATATTGTAAAGAGCGGGCGAGCATTGGAAATTTGAAAAAAAAACATTTTTTTTACATGCATTTTAAATGGGAAAACTTTAAATTTAAACTGCAAGTACTTAAAATTGATCTACCTTGGTGATTTTTTTTTTTCTATAGGTAGATTAATATTTTGCTTGAGCACCGAAAAAAAAAAACTTTGCGGAAATGAATCAGCCTAATGTATATGTTGAAATTTATTTAAAATTTTATTTCATTTATTTTATTCCAGGTACTTTCAACTTGACTGGTATTCCTCCAGCACCAAGAGGTGTTCCAAAAATCGAAGTAACATTTGATCTGGATGCCAATGGTATCCTCAATGTTTCTGCTAAAGATAGCAGCACTGGAAAGTCCGAAAAAATCACAATAACCAATGATAAAGGTAGACTCTCCAAAGCCGATATTGATAGGATGCTATCGGAAGCTGAAAAATATAAAGCCGAAGATGACAAGCAAAGGGAAAGGATTCTTGCTAGAAATCAATTGGAAGGGTACATATTCAGTGCCAAACAGGCCATAGAGGAAGCTGCTTCAGACAAACTAACAGAAGACGATAAAAAAATTGTTCAGGATAAGTGTAGCGCGGCTCTATCTTGGCTGGACGCCAACCAGCTGGCGGAAAAAGAAGAATTTGAAGATAAGCTGAAAGAATTGCAAAAAGATTGCGCTCCAATCATGATGAAGATGCACCAAGGCGCCCAGGGACAAGGGGCACCACAGGGAGCGCCAGGAGCCCAAGGGGGGAAAGGACCAACTGTTGAAGAAGTAGATTAGATACAAGGGAAAATTTTTGTAATATTAACAATTAGAGGAAATTTAAATTAAACTTATTGGGCACCAACAATAAAAATAAATTTAAACAACATAACTGGTGTTTTATTTTATTAAAAAGTCAATGTCAAATTAAAAAATGGAAGACCCAACACCAGTAGAAGTTCCATTAACAACTCAGGAAATAACATCGGCAAATGAAGAAGTTTCCTCCACAACTGCTGTAATCCGTGATCCAGATCTTTATTACGAACATGGGTTTTTCTACACCAACTGGCCTATTTTGGTTGGTACGTGTTTTTTTATATGCATTGGCATGGTTTTACCACTGATGGTACCAAAGGGACCGAATAAATCGTAAGGGTGCCTACCTAACTAAAATGTTTATTTATTTATGGATCAACTTCTTTTAGCTTAATTCGCTTGATGCTAGCATTAGTGGCATTTTGGTGCTGGTTGTTGTAAGTATTGTTAAAATTACACAGGTCCACAATGGTCAGTCTAAATGAACTTATATTACATCATCATAAGGTATTAAAACTCATTTGGCCATCTTCTTTTCTTAAATCAGTATTTAAAATATAATTTTCGTTTGGAAAAAAGATTGATTCAACTTTTTGATCATACATTTCGAATTACAATTTTTCTAATAGGAGAAAAGATATTGGAACATTTAAAAGGCATTTAAAAGAAACAGTAGTTACATTAAATGGGAAAATAATATTTTATGATGAAGGAATTCGAATTCTATTTTATAGACCTTTGAAGATAGCACTTTAAAATTGTATTAAGAAGAATTAAGAAACATTTTTTTTTAGTTGGATAGTGTGTTACATTTCTCAATTAAACCCTCTTTTTGGTCCAGTTTTATCATACCGACAAATTCTTTTACTAGAGAAATATGGGGTAAGAAACTTACAAATTCTGTCAAAAAAGTACCAGCACTCCCTCAATAAAACGCCACTTTATAGATTTAAGCAAAAAAGTTATGTATTATATATGTGGTAGCAGGATCGGTCAAGCATTTTGTATAGTATACAATGTATACACTGTTGATTTACTGCGATTTTCACTGTGAATAAAGATAGGTCTTAAATTAAAAAAACCCATTGAACAAATAGTAAAAAGCAATCAAAAAAGTGTTTAAAGATTTGCCTTAATCCAACTGAACACCCCCTGATTGCATATTTACACTAATGTGCACTGCCAGAGCTTGGCTAGTGTTAAATGTAGATTGATGTAGAACACTACAATCATTTTATCGCACTGCGAAAATAGTATATTATGTATCAAGTTTAATAAACCCAATTTTATACACGAATTTAATTTAGGCACGAGCGAGATTGCGAGCGAGTGCTTAAATTAATGAGTGTATAGAAATGATTATAAACGAGGTGCATACTATACTTTTTCTACGACAAATACTTATTATTATCTTAAAATGATTTAAATCAAAAATTTGTATAGAGTGCCATCTATGAAACAATCTGTGTGTCACCGTCATATGTCACATTTTTATTATTTTATAAACACAGATTATAAAGGTTATAAATCGAAATGTATTTCTTGAAAATTGAGAGTTTTTCACAGTGAAAGTAAAGAAGATGTTTTATAAACTTTTCAAATATTGGCGTTGAGAAACTATCTAATACTTTTGTATTTTTGTATTGATATAATAAAATAATTTTCATATTTAGTATTATTTTACAAGAAAGGCACTTTATTTTAACGATTGTATGACATTTGACAACTGTCAACTAACTTAAAACTAACTTCAGCCCGTGACTAAAAACCTGTTGCCAACTTCAGCCCGTGACGAAAGCCACAACTTGTCAATGTGTATTTAAAAGGTCACTTAGTGTCATGAAAACATGTACGATAAAGGGCGTTTTAAAGGTGGGAGTAAAACAAATAATTTACGATTGAAAATAGTGTTTTCATTCTACAACTTAGTAAAATTAGTATTATCCTTTTTAACTTGATAGAAGCTATAAAAACAAATTTGCAGGAAGAGCATTAGCCAACTTGGTAGATTTACGGATTAACAATTGTATACAAACTGCTTGACCGTAGACGTGGGAAGTTAAATACAATTTAGATTTTTCTCAGCACTTTTAAAAACGCGCTCTATACAGGGTGTTCCGAAATAAGTGCACCATAATTTAACAGCAGATTCTACGTGCAAAAATAAGAAAAAAGTCCCTATAAATATAGGTCGAGAAATGCCTCCTAAGGGAGCTACAGCCCCCGAAAAGGGAGCCCCTGAAGATGGTTTTTATCTAATATAAATAAAAAAGTAGAAACACCCTGTCACTTACTCCATGAAACTGTCACCTGTCTTGAATTATTCTATTTTTTCCTAAACATGGCAGCCGTATTCCAAGGACCACGCGAGTAGTGATTTAATTGTGAATTTTTATGCCATGTAAAATAATTTTCAAATCGATTTTATGCGAAAACGGTGTATGTTATGAAAGTTCAACAAGATGACCTTTTTTATGTGCAAAACTCTAAAATTTCATAATCTGACACCAAATTCTGGTACAAGATACGTACAAATAAGTTAAGGTGGTTTTAACCCTACTTCCTATCAATTTGACCCAAACCTCATAAAAATTTTTAAATTGTTATTGTTACGTCTTATTGGTCATAAAAAGTTTAATTAATTCCCCAAATTTCACTTTTATATCTTTAACGGTTTTGGAGATATTAAATAAAAACCATCTTCAGGGGCTTTCTTTTTGGGGGCTGTAGCTCCCTTAAGAGGCATTTCTTGACCTATGTTTATAGGGACTTTTTTTTATTTTTGCACGTACAATCTGCTGTTAAAGTATGGTGCATTAATTTCAGGACACCCTGTATATATGTATACATACCATTATAATAATTAAAAATGTAATATGTATTTTTTTTCTTTAGCGGGAGGGAATATTTTGGATTAATTAAGTATTTTAATTAAAACAGTCTAATTAAAAACCAATTTTTAACTTTGACTTTTTACAATTTTGATTTGATTTTCTATTAAAATGGTTATTATAAGTAAACGACTGTAAACTTATAAAATGTAATCAGCATGAAGCCAGTTGTTTGAAGTTCAATATTTACATGGCGCAGGATTTGAGTATTGGTGTTTCAAAGTTTTTGTAAACTAGACCATAAACTAGACTATAGTCTCCTGTTATTTGGTAAGTACATATCATGATATTAAAAATAATGATTAATTTAATTTTTAATTAAAGATTACGCCTTTACTTTAATAATAAGGAAAAGTAAATACAACGTTAAAATTTCATTTCTTTTTTTTATTTTAAAATGTCATTTCCGCTCGTGGCATATGTAGTGGTAAAAACGTGTATAAAAACCAATGCAAAGAGCCAAAATTATAATTTGCATTATCAAAACCATTTCCAGAAACAGATATGGGGATTAGTAATGAGCCTACTGATAATAAAATAAAAAATATAAATAAAACTTTTTGGTGGTTTTTAATTTTAATTTATTCAACATCATTTCCCTAACATTAGGTTTATCGAAGTGACCATTATATCATATATGTCAATAGACAACGTTAGTTTTTTCACTATGCTTTTTAAGTGTGTTCTTTGTTTTAGTGTTGCTACTTCTATAGGTATGTAACAAATGTAGATACCTCAAATCAGCAAGAAAAGATTTATAAAAATCGTAGATTTAAGAAGTATGTATTTATTTTAAAATTTAAAAAAATATATCAAATATTTTTATAAATTCAATTAGTTTACTAGTATTCATAGATAAAGGCTTGCGTGCAACACCCATGTATTTATTTTAAAATTAAAAAAAATATATCAAATATTTTTATAAAGTCAAGTAGTTTACTAGTATTCATAGATAAAGGCTTGCGTGCAACACCGGCTGCCTATATCCAATTTCGTTTTTTATTGATTTTCAATATTTCCCTTCATTTCTATACTCTCTAAAAATGAATTAGTCAAAAATGACTAATTTAATTGTTATTAGTGGCTGCTTTTTCACTTGTACCATGGTTAACCAGCCAATTCTTATGTAAAATTGTCCCCTGAAACCGAAAAGTTAAAAATGTAGAACAGTTTTTGAGATATAGTCAATTTTCCATTTAATATGGAATTGACTAATCTTAAAAACTGCTCCACTTCAGAGGACAATTTTACATAAGAATTGGCTGTTAAATTTTGGGATCCCATACTTGGACATGACATTTACAGCTTTTAAAAGCTATCAAATGTAAATTAATATGTTAATTTTGAGGTGTCTTCTTACTTTTCTCCGACACTTTGTTACTTCTTGTGACGTTTAAAACACTTGCCACGTAATACTGTAACCGTCCATCCTGAATTAAATCAATGGCTCTGGTAACATCAGTCGGAGACATATTCATATTTAAAAGTAAGAAGACACCTCAAAACTTAAACAATAATTTTCAAAAAACAATTTGATAGCTTTTAAAAGCTGTATATGACATGTCCAAGTATGGGATGATTCAACAAAACTGTCACTGTTATCCTCCATAGCCTATGGATGGACCATAGCAACCTTAGTTTTTTGTACAGAAAATATTGGAAATTGCAATGTTTTTTTAAAAAATCCATATTTTCCACAAAAATAAATATATCGGGGTGAACCAAAACCAAAACTATTAAGAATAGATGTGACTTGATAATTAAAACTTAATTTAGAACAATATACGGTTTAGCCACTCTACAGTGTCTTAAACTTATGGTAAAAAACTTATTTTTGTTTAAACCTGTATATTATAAACGTACATCTATTTTTAAGTAATTTTTTAAAATGTGAGCGATTCTAGAATATTCTTTAATTTACGTTTAAATCCGATATCAAATGAAAAAGTTATTTTCGATTGAAATTCATCGAAAATTTGTGTGGATCGATTATTTTGCCTGTCAGTGTAGATGATTGTTATTCTACACTGTAGAATAACAATCAATATATAAGCGGTTTTTCTCAGTAAAAGGGAAGATAATGTTTTTGGGCATTGTACCCAAAATTTGTAAAGCT